CACTACCAGACTTGCCTGGGATGCTGGACCTGACCTACATTTTCCAGATGAGTGACCAGGTTATGGTCCAAACTTGCATGGATGATGCATCTAAGGATGAACAATCAAAACTTGCTTCAGATGCCAGATCTGACCTACATTCACAAACGAATAACCAGATTAAAATTTTTGGAACAGATCAATCCCAATGAACTTGAAGACCAATTTAAACCGAACTTGCTTGAATATTATTGTCAGAATAAATATTAACTGTTAAGAAAATATGATGTGAGATTTGCATTACTTAAACTGATAACATTCGTTGAGGTGAGCTTCGTAATCTTTGATTACCTATGTTTTTCAAATACACATGTACATGTATTTATATTAATTTATAACATTAAAAATGTTCAAGAATTCATGCATTATAAGCATTAAAACAGGAGTTATTGCCCTTCAAATTTCATTCATTTTCCTGATTTGCCAGTTTCCTATTTGTTATTTTTGCCTATCTATTATTTTACAGATTACGTGGTAGTAGTGGAACAAAGCTTTGGAAATGACATTGGATGCATGGATAATAATGAACTCATTGTGTTTTATTTGCAACAATGTGACAACTCATTTCACAGCGATAGGAAATTGATACCAGTTCTTTTTATAGATGACACTATTCCTCATGGATATTCCTCTGTATTATAGATATTATATGCAGTCAGAAACTCAGATCTTTAGTGCTATGTGAAAGATTTTGCCAACAGATTGCATTAAATGTAAATATTTCCATTTGTGTCTTGTTCTTCTTGTACCTGCAGCTCTGAAGAGTCTACAGTATATATAAAATACTCAGTTAAAATAGCAATTCAAAAGTTATGTTAATGCTGGACCTGAAAACTAAACAAAACATACATACATGTATACAGTAAATTAAGCAATAATTCAAGCTGGATCCTATTATTTCAAAATAAGTGCATGCTGTAATGTGGTCTAAAATTGTTATATATGTACATGTACTTATATTACAGTGAAACTTGTAGAGATCTACCAATAATTATCCAGATATGTATTTTCACAGAAGACAAAAGCAAATCTGCAGCACTAATTTTCAGGTCCATACATGTGAAGTCCAAGGGCAATAACTCTCATTTGCATCAGTTTGACCCATAGTTTCTTCAGCAGTTTATTTAGAATAATTTCCTCTTTATTCTCATGAAACTTTTCATTCCGAATTGTGGTCTTAGTGGATGCAGGGAATACTTCAGTATTGTTATAGCTAACCTTGGGTTGATGCTCTTTAGAAAAGGATAGTTTGGATTAAATGTGGGAACATGGGTGTCGATACCCTAAGTGCCAGAGATACTGAGGTCAAGTTCTGCTTAACTTTGATTGGAAGAAACATAACCCCCTTTCAATTAAAAATGTGTGTGCCCCTAAGAACTCAAAAATAATGAAATTATAATTTTTATTACTTTAAGATCTTCAAAATTCAATATATTCAATTTTCATTGTTTCAATAAGGTTTAAACAAAAAAAAAATTTTTACTTCACTCTTGATATGACCATACAATTATATTACCGGTATTTGGTATTGTTGTAGGAAAGGAGAAATGCATCAAGAAAATATCTGGCTGGACTTGGAATCAAACTCATGACCCTTGTATTACTAGCCAGATGCTCTAACACTGAGCTACCCAGGCTAATATCTGTGGTCCATATACCGTATATAAGTGGAAATTTTAGCGAGATGCAAATTTAGAGATTTGTCTTTAAAATAGGGTATTTTATTTTTAGTGAGATTTAATTTTAGCTATTTGAAAATAGTCACTAATAAAGCTACTGCAAATTAAAGACAGTTTATTTTTAGCGATATTTAATTTTAGCGATCTCAGAACCTTCAATAATAATGCCAAAATTAAATCCTCACTAAAAATTCTACTTACACACTGGTATGTTCAATTTGAATTCATCTACAACAGACAACCAGTAATTTATTCACAACCTTTCTGCATGAATGCATATTCTAACTCAAAAATTACCTCAACATAATGATTACACAAAAAGCCAACCTGCTTGTAAGCAGAATGTCTTACAGTATCTTCAATTATTTTTAGTACTTTATTAACTAATTACACTAACAAATCAAACAATACATTTGTTTGATTAAGTCTTTTATTGATAAAGTTCAATTTTGTTCACACAGACACAACAATAATATATTGCCAAATGTACAAAGATGATTGACTATAGAAATTCCTGCTAAATTAATGACGTGCGACAATAATTACTCAAGTTATTACATAAGTTAAGCAAGAACTACTGACTGATAATATTGGGTTAATCTTCATAAAATACCCTGTGTCAACACTAAAAATTTGTTTATAAATGTTATTTTGCTACCAAACGTGTGATATGCCTATGACAAACAGTACAATAGACACTGATTATCAAATACAAGTAGCTCTTAAACCAGTGGTGAAGTTCACTCAAAATTTGACCAAGGTCAGTCCTGCGTTGTCTCAAAATGAAATAAAATTTTAAGCATGCAAGAAAAACAATTTGGGTATGCATGGTACTATTACTAAAACTCTAAAATATAATGGACTGTTGAATCGCCTCTTAAAACCGAAAAATTATGTGGAAAATAAATTGTATGAGAAGTCTTGACTTCATTCTTTAAAGTGTAAAGCCCCTGGCAACCTAGGATTTCAAATGCAAGATCTGATGGGAACAAAAATAAGTTGACAGATAGAAGAAGCCATATCATATGATAGCAAGGCATTTGAATAGAAATAACTGGACGGAAAAAGAAATAAACCTTCTACAGCAAATACATCTATTACTAGTTCATTAAGGGCTCTATGAATTTTTTACTTCCAGTTTCAATGGCAGAATTGTGTTAAAAATATTCTTGTTTCCGATATTGACAAACTACAAAAAATTGCAATGAACATAGTTTAACAACATCAACAAAACATAGGTAATCAGAGATTACAGAGCTCACCTCAACGAATGTTGTCTTTAAGGAAGGCAAAGTCACACAATTAACCACAAAAAGTGTACATTAAAAATGAAAATATTATGCAATTTTATCATGATACTTTGAAATAGACCTATATAAAATATTCAAACTAGACTTTTATGTAAATAAAATCCAGCATCTGAAGCAAATGAGAGTTTTCATCCCTTGATGCATCATTTGTGCAAGTTTGGTTTATACAATGTTATATAAGCCTTATAGCTTTTTGGTAATAGACCTGCAACCATAACTTTCACCTTGTCTATTATCTGAAAAATGTATGTCTAATTCAGCATCCGAAGCAAGTCCATTAGTGTTCATCCTAAGATGTATCATCCATGGAAGTTTGGTCATTAAAGAACTCATAGTTACTTGGAAATATCATAAAAACTTTAACCTGTTCACTCAACCGGAAAATGTAGGTCAGATTCAGCACTGAAGCAAGCCTGGTATTATGCATCCTTAATGTATATCCATGCAAGTTAACACATAGGGCTCATAGTATATTAAAATTGAGACCTGCACCAAAAATTTAACCTGTTCATTCAATCGGAAAATGTAGGTCAGATTCAGCATCCGAAGCATAGCCTGGTAGTATGCATCCTTAGATGTATCATCCATGCAAGTTTGGTCAACATAGGGCTTATAGTTACTTGTGTGAAATCTGCACCAAAAACTTTAACCTGTTCACTCAACCGGAAAATGTTTCAGATTCAGCATCCGAAGCAAGCCTGGTAGTATGCATCCTTAGATGTATCATCCATGCAAGTTTGGTCATTATAGTGCTCATAGTTATATATGAGACCTTCACCAAAAACTTTAACCTGTTCACTCAACCGGAAAATGTAGGTCAGATTCAGCAAAAATGGAAATGTGCATCCTTAGATGCACCATCCATGCAAGTTTTATCACATGTCTTGGAAAAGACCTGCACCAAAAACTTTAACCTGTTCACTCAACCGGAAAAGAGGTCAGATTCAGCATCCAAGCTCAGCCTGGTAGTATGCATCCTTAGATGTATCATCCATGCAAGTTTGGTCAAGATAGGGCTTAGAGTTACTCTGAAATAAGACCTACACCCAAAACTGCACCAAAAATGTTAACCTGCTCCAAAAACATAAACCTGGTCATTCCTTTGCTGAAATTGCAGCATCTGAAACTTTGACTGGTACAATGAAACACACTAGAAGTATCTTGCATGTCTAAAATATAGGACATAAAGTACAAAAAGAAAATTCCAAAAAACTTACCTGGGATCACCGTTCTACCATACGCCGAATATATGCATAAGTCCCCCAACTTCGTTGAGGTGAGCTAAAAAGACTTTAAAATAGAAAGTTGAAAAAAAAAACACAAATACAATTAATAATGATTTAAATGTACATAAATGTATTTCCCTGACTTTTATAATAAAATTCACATATGAGAAATCTAGATGTTAAGAAATTTTAACTCATCTATAAATCTAATATTTGAGAAAAAGAACAAGCACTACCTTCAACGATTAACATTAAAACTTATTTTTGCCTTTGTATATAAAAATCTATCAACAATACACAACAAAGAAAGGATTTAGTACAAATATCCCTCAAAACACAACTACATTTTTGATACTTCTACATGTATGCTTTTCAAAAAGCACCTTCTTTCAAATACTGTAGACATACTTTTTTCCATGTGGGACTGAATGCATTGTGTGTACAGTCACAAATTTTCTGCAGAAAAGTTTGTAACATAGCATTTTGACACCACAGAAAAAAAGTTTACAGTACCTAAATATATATGACACTTGCATGCAGGTAATATTATCTGTAAAAAATTAACATTCAGAATAATTTTATCACATGTCTTAAAGATTAATTATAGAAATATACATGTAATTTACTTGAATAGCTATTTAGTAATAGTATATGTAATAATTACAGACAGTGTAAATAAAAAAATCCAATATTGAGAAGTTGTTCCTCAATCCTGATAAAAACTTGTATTCCCCTTGTGTATTCTAATTCAACTGCTAAATATTAACCATGTTTTACACAATAAAAATCATTATGCAAGAATATCAAGACTTTTAACTTGTGCACCACTTTTTCGCTTAATCAATACTGGAAAAAGACATAATGAAAAGACGATAAACATAAAAACTAACTCTTTCATAGACAACATTACACAAATAGACTTATCTAAAATTTAAATAATTATTGCAAGGTTTTGTCTATACCAAGAAGAGGTAGAACAAATGTGCAATCAATATCAATATGATTCAATGGTTTTGTTCAGTTACTAGATTATTTACATGATCCTATGCTTCCTTCACTAGGAGCCAGTTATGGCTTAAACACGTTCACTTTTTCAATCTTCCCCTTGTCGTCTTCTGAGTCGGCCCTAAGAATGAGAAGCGCGTGTCCGTACCCACACCCCACGGCCTGTACATATCCACCATAGAGGGTCTTCACTTCCTGAGGAGTTGTGGAGGATTTGGCCTTGTCTTCTCCATAACACTGCAGTATACAAAAGCACTTTATCAAGTCACACTTCCAATGATATATTATGTTCAGGTAGCGATTATTCTATAATTCAATCTTCGTTCTTAAGCTGAAGAAAATCTTGTGTTTTTGGTAATATTTGCAACTTAATTACCAGCTCTCCATAAGTAGGACTTGGCCCCCAGGATATTAAGCTTTCATCTGCTGCTACCAGGATGCTTTTATTGCTGTAAAATAAAACAAGGGACATAAATTCAGACAGAATACATACCCCACAATATCCATGATAATGAAATTCTAAAATGGACCATTTCTAATAATAGATATGCTATGTTAAAAAAATTCATGCTAATTTGGGGTATTGAAGACCTAGCTTTTGGACAGAAGTTTATTTAAGATTTTTGATTAGAATCAGTTTGTAACAATACTTAAGCTTGTAACATTGACCTTGAAGGGGGGGGGTGCAGAAAATATTTACTCTTAGGTGATTATATACTAAAATGGTTTTAACTGGTTAAGCTGTTCCAGAGAAAAAGGTGAAAATGTTTAGAGATTACAAATGGCACCAGACATGTTAATGGAGGATAGCAATACACAGTGTAAGTAACTCAGGCACACAAAAAACAAAGCAAACAAAACAAGAGGCCCATGGGCTCAGGTGAGCTAAAAACTGACCAGCATCCCACACTTCGGATTCTCCAGCCACTGAGGTCCTGGACTAGTTTAGGATACATGGCTGCCTCACCCACTGACTTATTTATCCCCCACATGTAGAGTGCACCTGGCAACAAAAATACGTCATCAGCTAAATAGCTTACAAAGTAAATATCAAATGTCAAAGTAGACAACTTTGAAATCATACAGTTTTATAAGTTATTGTCTTAACTAGCATTTGTTCACCAGACTTGAAAATCACGAAGGCATTCTCTAGCATCAAGATCAATGTACCAGGGAGCCTTTAATGAAATAATATAGACATCACAACACGGTACATGAATAAACCAATGAAAGAGGCCAACGATGCCATGAAAAAATTGTGAAAAAAAAGATGGTGATCATTTTTCAAAACTTTAATTGTGCACTGTCAGAGTGAAATTTCTGAATGCTTCAAAATTAATCCTAATGCTATACAGAGTAATTCTTTGGTGCAAACATTGTATGACGTAAACAGTTATTTATTTCCTCTCTATAGTACAAATAATTCTCTTCTTCAGAAAATAGAAAAAAAATTTACCAAATTCATTTGTAGCCAAAGTGAAAGTTGATCCAGCATATATCTGGGTTGCTCCTCTGTTAGGCCCATCAAAGAATTTCAAATGACGTGGCACCATTTCATCTTTAGGTTCAGCATGTCCAAGCCGACCATATCCTCCAAACCCCCAAGTAAAGACCCTCTTCTTAGAATCTATGATTGCCTGCAATGGGAAGAGGTGATTAGGTGCTTGGAATTATTAAAATGTTGTACTCTTTAAAACATTTATTTATATTTATTTGACTTATAAATAAGTTCGAGTGTGTAAAAACATTTTAATACATGTGAATATTGTTGCCTCTTTGTAAATCCTCTTTTTAAGACACAGAAATAAAGGCAATTTTACACATATGAATGGATCCGTTACCTGTTGTAATCCAACAGTGACAAAATGAATGCATGTGTTATTAATATTTACCTCCCCTGAAGCCTGACTGACTTACCGTGTGATTCATGCCACACACCAGCTCCCTGATTTCTACGTCTGTTACAGGTACAATGTGACCATCCCTCGCCTTCTCTATGAAGACATTCACCTTCCTAGGTCGTGTCTCACATCGAAAGGACATCTTATTGCTAGTAACAAAGTACTTCCCATCTGTGTTGTGACCTAGTAATATATTTGTAAATCTAAATAAACTGTACATTCATGCAGCATAGCATAGTGTTTCTGAGAATTCAATCATACAAAGATTTATAACTTTATTAAATATATTTTTCAAGGTATAAATTGATGAAAAACTTCTTGGATAATGATCTTTAAGTGCCCTGTGTTAACGTTGTCCGTTAGTCTCAATATATTTTCATTCGGACTAATAAAAATTGTAGCTAATTAGTCCGAAGGGACTAATAAAATTTTCTTGGGATTCAATCAAAGAAACAGAATTTACCGATGTTCAAGTTTTCGACAACTTTCACTGGAAAACCCCATATTTATTTTTAGCTTTCTAGCTTCTAGGCGGGAAGTTAGGTAATTTTGATTCAATTCGGTGCTTAATTTTAGGACTCATCGATATGAAATTGAACATTTAAGTGATCATGATTTAGTATGACACATAAATAAAGATGTCGGATGTTTAGATGATGTAATCATAACTTTATTGTGCGATTTCAATATATTTCATGTAAATGCTTTGTTTATTTCAAAAAAGTACATTGCAACATTAATCCTATTTATTGTTATTTTTGACGGACTAATAAAATTACAAGCGGACTAGTAAAAGTAAAGAAGCACTAGTCCGGCCGGACCAAAGCCTAAAAATGTTAGTGTCGAACCCTGCTACGTTACCTAATTGTCCATACTCTGGACACCCAAAGGAGTACAGATTTCCTCTTATGTCTGCTATCATAGAAAATTCCCCTCCAGCAGCTACTTTTCTGATAGGAGGACCTTTGTATGATATCTGAAATTCCATTTATATTATTTTTTACTTATATAAAACTACACATTTTATGGCAACATAATATCAAGAAAATTTCATTAAATTCTCACAATTTAATTTTTTTCAAATAATTTTTTTTTAATTCAGGCATTGTAATAACATTTTTTCTGCACCATTAAACACCACTTTGTCTACTCTCACCTTTGTTGGTACCAGAATTGTGCTGCTCTGGTGCCCTAGGCCTAACTGTCCCATTTTGTTGTCTCCACATGCATACACATGACCTTTGTCTAAAATTTATAATACATTTGGACATCTTAATAAAAAAAAAAATGTCCTCTTTTGACCAAGAATAAAAAAAAATGTCAGTTATAGATAGGAATTTTCTATATGAATCAGTGTATTTTAGAGATCGACCCCGTTTAAGTTTGGGCTGATGTTGGATATTTCTTTTTCTTTTTGTATAGATAGTGATAACATAAAATAAAACAAATGGCCCCATGTGATTATAATATACTGTAAGTATACCACTGACTGATTTCATATTCTACCTGTAAGAAACAGTGTGTGGTTTTTGCCGCAGCATGCGTCTACAATATTGAGTCCCTCTAGGAGCGGAACTTCTGTGGGGAGGTCCTTTCTGTTCGTGTCACCTTGTCCAAGTTGACCACAGTCATTTCTACCTGCAGTTGTAGTGTATAAATCATAAAATAAACGGTCTGTTTTTCAACTGCTGTTGACAGCCCGGTGGTCGGGCTAATTTTAATAGCCAGATATATACGAGAATTTATTTAGTTTATTAACAAAAATCTGCAGACTACGTGGTGTATCTCGCTAATTTATAAACCTGTCTGGTTTTATTACAGCTGAATTAAGTGAAACTGCAGGGCACCTGTTTTGCTACTGCATCGAATACTCTGTCGGAACTCCTCTAGATTTTACACTCGGGTGTATGAAAAAATTGTTACTAAGTGTGTGCAGCTATCGATGTCTTGCCAAAGATGATTGTGTGAAATGATTTTAGATCTTTTTATCGTCAAATAATTTATTCATGCTGTACTGTGATACAGACATATTTTTTACTATTTAATTGTCGAGTTTTTAACCGTCTAAGAAGTTATACGTCTTGATAATCATAAGTAGTTCAATCAGCATGCAGTTAAGTGCATCATTTTTTTTTTAGAAAAAGAATTTAAAATTGAAAACGAATTTTGAAGAGAACAAAATAATGACTATGCCAAGAGCTGAAAATCTTAAACAAGAAGAGAAAAAAGGGGGTTCATCTTTTAAAGGTTAATTGTGTTAATTGTGTAAAAAATTAATTTTTTAAACTAGGTTGTTTAAATTGACCTACATACTATAGGTCCCTGATAATACAAAATAACTATTATAATGTATTTATAAGTTATAAACAATGATTTATGAAATGTTTTTATTTCTAAAGAGTTTAATAATGATTAAGGTGCACCACGTAATCCACTCGTCTCCCTAAATTTCTCTGAGGGAGAAGTGAACTCTCCATTAATTTTGGGACTAGGTGGTCTCTGGAAGATTTATATAGATCACTGATGACTAGATTAATTAATAGTTTTAAAGCATGTTAAACTTAAAATATGCATCCCCTGGTTTATGATCAGATATGGTTTCCAATGTTGTGTAAAATGTGAAAATTGCAAGGGGATGTAAGTCCTATGTTACAAGTGTAAATATAAGCTTTATTTATATAGTAAATTCATAATGATGAGCATTTTATCAGGACTCCTGGTAACTTTTAAAAGTAGCCAGTCCTATGGCTGGCTGCAATTTTTATAAATATATGAATAATTGGAACATGTGACATCAACTCCTCTTTTTCATTATCTTTTATAAAGATATGTCAGGATTATATGTGATAAATCATCATGTCTTCTTTTTTTTAAAAAGATAAATAACTATTTCATAAGTTTCTTTATTCTTACCAAAAGTCATAGCTTTTCCATCAGCTGTGATGATGACACTATGACAAGCAGTGCACCCCGAGATAGCAGATCTAACCTTTACTCCCAGCATGTTACATATCCTGTGTGGACGCCAGAGATTGGGACCACCCGCATTCTTAGCTGAATAGAACACAAAATCATAAATGTGTAAATATTAGTAACAAAATGTTCCATTCATCTGCATTTAAGTCTTCTTCAATGACAAAGTAACATAATGTAAATTTACCTCCCTTTGGCACAGATTTCCTTCCTATCAGGTCCCAGTTTGTTCCCCCACTGATCAGCAATTCTCCAGTGAGCATTGATCCCTCTAGAGTCTAACAATAAATTAAGCTATATTAAGCTATTTAAGGCTTGATAAAGCTATTTCTAGCTTTTATTTATACAATAGCAGGGTTAAATAAAATTGTCCCTTAGACTTGGGGTTGAGGAATTTCCCTGCTTATAACGACATAATTCCTTATTTACTTTGGTATTCCTCCTCGCTCCCTTGTTAGAAGAACCCCAGATCCTCTAATACTCTATTTATTCCCCCTCTCATTCAAAATACATATTGATTCATTTAGCAATTATTTCCCTTTATTTTGCATATTTACTTCACAAACATATCAATTTTTTTTTTTTATTTCTTTTACTGATTTGACTTGAAATTTTGTCTGATTTTCCTGTAATTTGACATTTTTGTTCACATGACCCTCTTTTGGGAGTCTTTTTCTTATTTCAAGGTTCTTGAAGTCTTTCGGTCCTGTTGGCAAAACCGGCAAAACCGATAAAAACAACCAAGGACCGATTACTTTGCGTTCCATGTCAGTCCAAATGACCGGTAATTGTTGACAGAAGAACTTGCGAGAATCCGACCAAATTTTGTATGAATTGTCTAAAACCAACCGATCGTAATCTTTTAAACGCTTTTCTGAATCTTGTTATGGCTTCTTCGATGAACGCAGGTGCCAAACTATGATTGGTAAGCTAGTTTGTTGACAGCGCTGGGGTAAGCCAGGGGAGAAAATCGGACTAGATTAAAAACTTATGAAGAAAATAGACCCCCACGAGAATTCAAAGAAAGTTGTTATACGACGATCAAATCCGCATGAAGTGTGCAGTGTTGATTGACGCTGGGTGCACAATATACTGATAATAAAATTCAAATACAGTTTTTCATCTTTTATATTGAATTTTTTTTGGACTGACAGAAATCTGTCTGGACTGACAAACTTCACATGGCAGTCAGTCCAAATGACTGACATTGAAAAAAAGATTTCAAGAACTCTGTCATTTTTTGGTGACTCTGAAAGCATGTTTTTGAGTTCATGTAGTTTACTAAAGGGAAGTAACCGCATTGAGTTATAACATCATTTAGTATTACTATTAGTACATGTAATCAATTGCAATAGATGGTTGATTAGGGCATACGATTAATATGATAAATTCTAAAACTCTTGCTATAACCAAATTTGCTATCATTCATACAGCTTTGGGAAGCATTTGTTCCTGATGCTGGGCGACCAAACCGGTGTTCAGATGAACACATGATTTCACTCAGACAGTGACTGAGCTAATATCTAGTATATCGTTATGTACTTTTAATGTTCGAGTTACCCTGATAGATATACATAGAAAAGGAATAACTCGTGTGTGAAACTTACAACATCGTAAGTTTCATCTGTTTCCGTGCCATTGTTTGTGTTGTGGTCCATTTCTCCACCGGAGTCTATATCATCAAACTCTTCAATATCATCATTTTTCTTCTTTCTTCGTTTTGCTTGGGAATTTCCCTTACTATCTGGATTCCTTTTCTTTGGTGGCATTTTTTCTTTATTAGAAATTTTATCGATTTTGATAACAAAGACAACCCTGTCAGATGCTATTTCAACCGACGAATTCCCGCGAAATTCTTCCTTCTCGCGAGAGTTCAGCGCCGAAAATGAAATGAAAGGAGGCTTTTCATTTGTTCAATATCGAAGGGTCACGCACCAAGTATTCGCGCGGATCAAGGTTTTCCTTTCCCTTAAAACAACAAATAATTGCACTGAACACAAGTTTTTTTGAATATGTTTGTGAACGAACATATCATAGAATTATCCGATATTACATAAAAGTAGGATTTTCATAATTATTCGAGACCAGGATAAATAAAATATTTACATTAGTACATGGTATCTATATTTTATAAAGGAATTGAGTTGGTGGGTGGTGATATAAGCCAGAGACACCCCCCAAAAAAGAACAATTGACGTGTTAAAAAAAGAAAAGAAAAAGAAAATTATTCAAACTCCAAACATAAAAATTCGAGTTGGGGGGGGGGTGTTCCTGGTTCAACATTTTTAATTTTCAAATGTTATTCATACATTACCACAAAACACAAATTTCACCATGTTCACTGCCCATGTTTAAAAGAATTTTTTTTTAAAATACTTACAGATAGTGAATAGGCCCAGAAGGAAGGATATAACCCAGCAGAAAATTCATTGACAAGCAATCCACAATTTTGAAATCAAAATAACAACAAAGCAGACCTTTAATTAGACGTTTATAGTATGTAATTCCCCGATTCTCCTCTCCCTCGGACAGGCCGCAGACGTCTAAGAAGCTTGTAAAAAAAAAACACAACGTTTTGTGTATATACTCCAGAATTATAAAAAAAACAAACAATTTATTATCAACTCCTTAATCCTGTTAAAATGTATACAGCTATGAGAAAATTCTGCTATACAATTGACTGAAAGTAAGTTGACTGAAAAGAGACTAAATGACTATATTGTCATTTACCCACCTTTTCCGGACCTTTCAATGACTATACAGTTAAAATTGACTGAAAGGCCAGGCTTCATCCAGTATTAAGACCAAGTTTGATGATAAAAATTTTGAAGATATTTTTTAACAGGCTATATGGTCTGAATCCCCCCACATTCAGTATCAATACTTAATGTTGAATCTAAACCCCTTTCGGTTTTCAATAGGGTCAAATTTTTTTGTTACCACAGCTTTCAAATTAAAATTACCCATATAAAGTAGTTTTATAAAGTGATATAAATATCTGTTTTTTTAATTTAGAAAGGTGTATGATTTGCAAATTAAGTTGGATATATAAGTACATTGATCAAAAATCGCGAAAGTCAATGGTAAAAAGCAGATCGCTTTAATCCGACTTTAAAAAATGAGGTGTATAAAAAAGATTTTTTTATACCTCAATTTTTTTCAGCGATCGAAAGGCCTGTAATAAAAAGATGACAAAATCTCGGAGATGTGACTTCGATATATACTAGTAAATGAAATGAAAGCATTTCAAAACCAACAAATATGTGATGCCACGTACGGATCGACATCTTAGCAGTAATGGTTTTTTTCTCTCTCTCGAGACTACAATTTTTATTGATTGTGGGGACGGTGACACCCTCTCTAAATATCTGTCGCATTTAAAAAAAAAACAATTAACAACATATTAATATTAAACTGTGGTACAATAAATATCTCATATAATTTAAGTGCAAGGGACAATATGAATCGCTATCATTTACTAAATATTTTTTCTTAACCCCATGCAGTCTCCATCCAGAAAGCTGACCTTGCAGGTGAAATTATGTATACAACTTTCATCACCCATCTGTTCAAAGTCCGCATATTTTAGATAAGAATTTACGTAGAATCTTTTTTTAGACAGTAAATTTTATTAAATATTTAGATCTTGCGTTCGGGACTCCCTGGTGACCAGAAATACCTGTAAGCCAGAAGGACACCTACACTGCGTTATGTATATAAACGTGCTGGGTGTATGTGGTATTATTCAGGATTTTTCCGTTGTCAGTTCATTCTGTTGTTTAGGATTTTCTTTTACGATCCAAAGTCCAACTGGTATACTGGAAATTAGTCACCCAAATGCCGTAAACATGCTTTTAGACATGCTCAAAAACTATTAAATGATCAATACATGAATTTTAAGGACATGTTTTTCAATATATTCTAAAGAGTTCATGTGGGTTTATTCAAAGTTCAAATTCTTCAGAGAATTTTTGCTAGTTATGTTTCTTATATTTTCACATTTCCACAATTTTTCTGTGTATAAAGAACTTTTTAATATTAAACAACCGTAATTCAAAACATTGCTACCCGTAACTGACAATATAACATCAATTTGCTTCTTTATAACTAGCTCATCTCCAAAATGAATTTTATTTAATGATATAAATAAAAGCCAAATTCTCAGAAATTCTTAATGTTAACATTAATAATACTGCGACAAAAGAATAATCAACACTGCTAAATTTTAGAACAACTTCCAATTGACAACAAATTACTTTACCAAAAAATAACATGCAAGTGACATATAAGGACCTTTGACCGTCAATGTGGACTTTGACACCTGTTAAAATGAAATATCATGGTGAAATTGTAGCAAAAAAAAAAATGAAATCACGTGGTCATAATCAGGTACAAAAGACGGAAATATTGACAGTCAGCTGATTTTGTTTACACGGACCACGGGAGGATTCCTCCGTTACTTCACAGACCCGAGATAACTCGATATTAACACGGGTCTACCATTATTTTGATTATAACTCGGGTGTATTGCAAGTCCACAGGATAACATTAGACATTAAGATATAGTGCAAAGAAGAAAAAATCCAAAACTATCATGAAATTGCCGAAAACAATCATACCAGTGATTCTGGTTCTATGCTCTGTCTTTGCTGTTTGTCGCGGCAAAGTTACTGCACAAAATATGAGCATCGGAGACAAAGCAAGATGGGTTGGTTCTTTCGTGGGTATAGAACAACCACAAATAGGTGCATCCATATATGATGCAGGGGCCCATTTGGTTTCTCAGATGGGGGCCCAGGGAGCATCAATTCTTCTCGGAGGACTGCTTATGATGTCGAAGGACCCCAAGGCGGGAGCTGTTGCAGACGTGATCATCGACCATTTTGCAGACGCTTACAACAAGTCGGGGGTGGCAAAATGGAACCAAACGATGCTGAAGGCTCATCAGGCCCAGTTAGCGGGACTGGTTCTTAGTAAATTGGACATTGTAGGAACAGTGCATGATGTCACTAGAATGGGCAGTGCTCGGATGGTCATGCCTTTAACCAAAGAATCGAAAGTGAACAAAGATTGTTACGAAGATGCCATGGACGTCTTAGACGCTGTGAATGAAATGCAAAGGAGCGACTTGTCGTGGGCCAGAATTAGTAAGTAAGATATATTATGTGCATATGCATGCTCACTCTGCTCCACTAAAATTACAAATAAGAACAACAAAGCACTTATAATAATTCGTTCGACAATCACTGTAAAATTATAATTATTATATATATGACAGGGAAAAGTTAGCAAGAACTTGTTACCAATCCCTTTGTATGAATTATGCAATAATATCTGTTCAAAACAACAACACACTTTCGAAATAAAGCCAAATTTCAAATATTGCTAGACAACATTACTATCTAGTAGTTTAATCAATGGACTTCTTGAAACAATGAAGATTAATTGCTATACATATATATTTTTAAATTTGATCGATCATTATAGGTGGTATCATTATTATTATGAACAACTTATACTAAACGAAGATGCATACCACATTTAAACTTTTAAATTAACCGTCACTCATTTAAAATGTTTAAGTGATGTAAATCTTTGAGCAATGTAATTAAGATCACCATCAACGTTACGGTAATTGAAGTTTACATAAACTATTTCTGTAGCTGTTGTAATGTTTTCCCCACACATTTTTAAATGTGTAAATGTCTTAAAATATCCATTATCTTTCGAATTATTTATATAAATATTGAAAGTCCATGAGTTAGAAGGATGTACTCGGATTTATTGTTACTCAGGAAAATCCCTACTATGTTTATATTATTTATGCTTATGTACGACAAAAGTGAATAAATATACAGTGCTATTTTCATTTATCATCATAACTAGTATTTGGACACAACTTATCTCTCATATTTAATGCATACATCGTATACATACCATTGTTTGTGAAAGTGAAGATAACCGATTTGTTTGTTTGATTTTACACGGATGAAATGTGATAATAAGGACTTGCCTGAGTGTTGACCACCGACTATGTACCTCCGCAGACAAGTGTACTTGTTACCTTTAAAGCACTAATAATTGTACCCTTGAACTTTCAATCAATAAATTGTATCACATTCTTATTAACTAATTAAAGTCATATGAATTGTCTGTACATAATTGGAGCAAAATACGTGTACTCATGTACTTGTATATGTAAAAAGTAGAGACTTTCTTCTGATAAACCCTTAATGCATTTCATATTTTTGCTGTAAAAGTTTCGTTACATTAGATTTAAATCTAAAATGGTTTTAAGCATTAGCAGATAAATCATTTTGTACGTAGAAAATTGAATATGACAACCCCCATCCCCCCCCCCCCTAAAAAACAAAACAAAAAACAAAAACAAAAACAACAGCAAAATGAAAATTGAATTATATAGCAACTGTGCAACTGTTTAGGTCTAACAATATCGACTTTGAAAATAAGATAATACAATTCAGACATACTATACTGTATATGCCGGTAATCGTCACTAGGAATTTATCTCTTGATGGGCAGATTATTATTTATTTTTCTCATTTTACATATTTGAAATCCCTATCTATTGGGGTCAAGAATGCATGTGTACTTCAACAGTGTGTTCAAGCAGTGAAAAGAAAATGTTCCCAGAAACCGGGTCATCTTATCTTGTAATACGATTAGAACAAAAATATTGATACTTTTAATGTAAACATAACAAGCTTACTCTAGTTGCATGGAATCTCTTGTTGTGAAGAAACATATTGAAAAAATAAAATCTACGACTAATTCTGTATAAATTATTATTTGCTTATTGGATGAAAATAGGAAGATTTATTTCAAAGAGCAGTCTAAAATTTTCATCGTTGAATTTGTTTCAGTGTTTGACGCAACAGGAAAACTGCCATCTGGAGTCCTAAGAGGACATATGACGGCGCTGGGATCATATGAATCCTGTTTAGAAATTCATGGCAGAATTCCTAAAAACATAAGGATTGGCGCCCTCAACAAAACGTCATCACGCTACCCACGTGATTTTGACACCAAATATTGCCGAGCCACAATGACGCTGAAACCAACCGTGTTTGGAAGTGGAGTGGTCAGTCAAGCAATACACTTGTTAAAAATTATATTTATGATGAAAAAAGGTTACGCATGCAAAGACTTAATATTATATGTGTAGATAGAAGGTCTCCCCACAAAATATGTATTTTAATTAAACTTATTCATGTTATTGTAGGATGACAAAATTTTGACGAATCTCTTCTTCATATAAAGCATTAGTTGTTTGATTTGTATTTTCTTTTCACAAATTTTATTTAAGAATAAACTTTCTTGTAAGTAGTTATATCAACTGTAGCAACAAAATTTATTTTTAAATAAAATCTTTTGAAAGACAGTATATATTTATTTCTCAAGAACCACAGCAATAGCAAGTTGATAAATTCCATATGAAATTTATCATTTATTCGATTAAATAATATTGATTTTTTATAAAGTATGATGTGGTCTACTCGCAGGCTTAAAACAATTACTGACTCATCATCCATTAACTGTTTTACAACAGGACACCCACGGCATCCGTCCCCTGTTGACCCTCGGGTTGTGCCTGCCAGATTCCTGCAAAGCCCAGGACGTGGAAGGAATTTTGAGGCTCGGTAAGAAAATTTAAACAAACTACCTAGCTAACCTACAACTCTTGGATATTTCAAATTTTCTTTTTCAAAGAAACTGCTGGAAATTGAATTCTATGCTTTGTCGTAACAGGATATGTGGGTAGGAGCTTAGGGTCTGGAGTGAATGATACGGAGGTCTATTGTCCCGAGGAACGTTCTATGGAAGGAGACACACCTGCAATTGTTGCCGTGTAAGAAATTATAGATATCAATAAAGATAAATGCCTGTTTTAATCCAAAGCTTGTTCAAATTAAGATCTTTAAAAAGAATCTTTGCTGTCTTTAAGAAAATCCAAGTGAATGAATTTAAAATTGAATATTAGGACAGTCTAACCAAGTTGATTGACTACCCTTGTAGAGTGATATTATCCATATTTGGATGTTTGGTACTCTGTGGAACATTATATGAACTTCGACAACAGTTTACCGTTATAGAGAAAAACTCTTCCTATAAAACTAATCTGAAACAGGATGACCATTATGATGTCATAAAGGAAAGAGCAGAAAACTGTTATACTACGGTGAATCCAGCTTTTGTTCCTGACGAATCGAAAACTAATGGTGACGTGAAAGTCCAAAACGGAGGTGGAGGAATACAAAATGGAAGCACAGGCGTAGGACTTCCATCTGGTTACATGCACCATAAAGAGGGCGACAGTATCCAACCTTCTGGAGCTCCAAATGGGAGAGGCACAGAGACGGGCTCAAATCACTACGTCACAGTTACAGTTAATTCCAAAGAAAAGTCTGGAACAGAGCGAAAAGCGCCTCAGAGGAAAGATGGTATGCATGCAGTATATATTTATTTTAATCTTACAATTCAAAGATTTTCGAATAGGATGTATTCCGCGGTTAGTGTGCACGTGTTAATTTATCATAAATGCTATTTTAGGGACTCTTGGGATGTTCTTTAAAAGTTTCTCGATCATTACTAACGCCCCAAAACTTTTGTCTGGGAAAAGTGGTCCAGGAGCCATTACGTGTCTCCATGGAATCCGGTTTTTCAGCATCACATGGATTATGCTTGGGCATACCTATAACTATGGACTAGTGAAGACTCCGGGAGTCATGACTACAGGTATAAAAATTCATCATTAGACTTTTTCTAGATCTTTCAATGCCATCTAAGTTACACATGCAGGTATGCACTGCTAAAAATGAATTACAGTAATTATTTTTTACTTAAAGTAAATTTTGTGGATGCTATACCAATGACACAACGGTTTTCCTTCCAAGCGGTTGTTGGTGCAGGGTATGGTGTCGACACTTTCTACATGATAAGGTATTATATATTAACTTCATCGTTAGAAAAAATTAAATGGTTTGGAAATTAAAGATATACATATACATACATGTATATGGAACTGTTTTATTATATACACACAAGTACTCTGAAGTTGACATAAAAAAAGATACTTAAGTTTCTGATTGACAATATCAATGTGGCTTTTAGAGACCATGTTTTCCAACATTCTATTGAAGTTCCCATGGGTATCAATTGCTCCCCGTTATTAGCAGACCTATTTTTGTATTCATATGAAGCAGAATTTGTCCAAAATCTTGCTTGCAAAAAGAAGAAAACACTTTCTGTGGCCTTCAACTCGACATTTAGATATATGGACAACGTATTGTCAATTTACAATGGTTATTTCCATTCTTATGTAGGTATGGTATATCATTGAGATAAAAGATACCACAGAGTCTGACACATCTGTTTCATACTTGCATATTTAACTTGAAAAAGACGTTAATGGTAATCAAACAACCAAGCTCTATGATAAACGTGATGACTTAAACTTTTCAATCGTCAACTTCCCTTATTTGAGCAGCAATATACATTCATCAACTACATACGGCTTTAATATCTCTCAGTTGATTCGATACGCAAGAGCCTGCTCTACGTATGTACAATTTCTAGGGAAATCTACATATGCGCAATGTCTAAAAGGAGGTAAACTATTGACAAACAAGTTGCTGAAACAAGATTATCAACAGTCTCGTTTAAAGTCATCATTTCGTAAGTTCTATGGTAGATACAATGATGTCAGCAAATACAATTATTTATCATTGAGTCAAATGCTAACTGACATTTTTCATACTAATTGTTAGTCCATTATTTACACACTGAATCGACGACGGATTTTCCGATCATGACATGGAGCACACGGTGGGTGTGACCGGTCGGCAGGGGATGCTCACTCCTCCATGACATCTGATCGCCCTGATGTTTTGGAGGCCCGTGTTTGCTTTGCTCCTATTTAGTATTGTTACGAGGGGTGATCAAAAAGTTCGCAAACTAATTGAATAACTTCCATACAAGAAACAATATTTGGTTTTAATGTTGATTATATTTTAAATTAGTCCTCCCCGATTTTAATGCACATCAACCACCGTTCTGCGCATGCGCGAATCATGTGATATTGGCGGTCACGTGACCCCCTCCGTAGCGTTCTGTCACAAAAGTTAAAAGATTTTTCCGAGTTTTATATTTCTTTCCATGTGAGTTAATTTTTATGACAAGAACAGTTAATTTGTCAGAAATGGTCATATCTCGGCAACAGAATGGGTGGATAATAACATCCTTTCCAAAAATAAGCATGGCGACCATTAAAACACAAATCTTCTGTCTCAGGAGAGACCTTTATTCAAGGTGGATAGAGAATGGGTGCATCCTTTTTATCATATCTAATATGTTTAAAATCTAAAGTAAACGATATCTTAGGTATTTAATACTTATATCATTGTTCAAATATTCAACTATTTTTCAAAGTGCTAATTGGAGGTCTTTGATAGCAAATTGCTTGATTAAAAATACATATATTTTCAAACTTGCTTTCACTGGGCAAGATGACAAGTATCATTTTTAACCATCATCCTTCCTTCACTAAAATCCTAATCCAATCTTTAATTGAATTTATAGGAACTCATTTATCTCAATACTCTGTGTACAAATTATTATATGATACTGTAGAGGGATTTCTAAGATATTACAATAAATTGTACAGTCGTTTGGTGAACGAGTTCGACTGAGACAACCATTTTTCGTCACAAGTGACCTAAATAGTGACGTCATTTTCACATTGTGACGTCACAAACAAGGAGAGAAACTTTATTCAGCATATGCTATTTATAGACCTTGTGTATGGCTATGTGTGTACCGAATTTCATTCTAATCTGAATTGTGGTTTTGTAGATATAGAGATAGTTTGCGAACTTTTTGATCACCCCTCGTAAATGGAATTTTGAGTTTGAATACTGTTCGTTGTCTCCATATATTTCATATATCTATATCTACAAATGATAATTTAAAGAATATCCTTTATATCCTGTATATATGAATTAACCCCTAGCAGATTTATACTAGCATTAATATTTCCTTTGTGTGGAAATATAATCTATAAATGATTCACAAATCGTGATATATTTGATAAAAATACACATATTTGATAAATATCAATTGATTAGCTCTGTTAAGTATGTTTATTCCTTTGTTCCATTTTGCAAGATTAAAAGGTTGTTCAAGGGTTGTCAATTTCCTGCTCGAAAAATTAATTTAAAAAAAAAAACAAAGATTTACATTTAGTTATCTTTCGAAATATTTATGTCAACCGGGTCAGAAGATCTTTAATTATCTATTTATGTCCATTGTCATGCGTCGTACTTTCATCTTAAAGTTCACTGAAAAAGTGCCCAACTAGTTTCCAATTTATGCAGCATCAATAGGCGAAAATTAAACAAACCTGTCACTCTGTCTCCCTTTTTGGTTTTGAGGCATGTGGTCAAAGCCATCGCATTTAATACAATCTTCAAAAGTCTTCCTCTTTAGTCATACATTGTATAACTTATGATTTATTATACAGCGTATCTTTTCTTTAATCCCGAACTAATCTAGAAGCTGCAAAATATATAAAAGATTATAGATTGTTTTCATAAAACTGTCAAAATGTTTTCACATAGGTAAAAACCAGATTTAGATGTGCCTAAAGTTGTCATAGTCTGAGAAACTAATGATACTTAAATGACTGTCAAAGCCCATGGACCTCTTGGTTTCAGAATAAATAAAGATTTTAAAAAGACAACTAATTAAGACACCCAGTTCCAGAACCGTTTGAGTGATCAACTGTAATATTCTATTACATCACGAAGGCATGTTTCATCTTTTTCTTTTAGTGGGATGCTTCTTGCATTTATCCAGCTAAAACAAATGGCAAAACTCAAAAAAGACCCCAAGCCAGGGAAGATCGGATATTATGTGTTCTACTACTATTTCCACAGATTTTGGAGGCAAGTGTCACATATGTACACCCTGACTTTCTGATCAGGAAATACTGAGATCTTAGCTAATTTTTTTTCTTTCATATAAAACAGTTAAAGAGTTGGAGAAAATTCCACTGGATATAATGTAATGTTTGCACTCATTAGATTGAGTGTTCATAACAAAGAAGAAACTAAATTCATATTAGGAAAAAAGGGAGGAGGAGATCGTAAAATACATAACTTATCTTTTCTTCCCAGGTTGACTCCTATGTACATGATAATCTTGATGATCTATACCTGCCTGACGTTATATCTGGGTAACGGTCCCATGTGGCCCAAACAGATTGATTCTGCGGAATACTGCCGTGAGAACTGGTGGACAAATATTCTGTATGTCAACAACTTGGTACATACAGATAAACAGGTGTGTAGATGAACAAGCAGATAGATACCATTTCTTCTTTTTTCTATCCACTTCCTGAACATCACAGAAGATGTGTTAAGATGTATTATTTTTTGGTCCTTTTTAGTGTATGGCTTGGACATGGTTCCTAGCAAATGACATGCAGTTTTACGTGGTTTCAATCATTCTCCTTTTCTTCCTAACAGTGTAAGTTTTTATGAAAGTCTATGATAATCGGTTCAATGAACCAGCATATAATCAACTTTTTGATCATTTGATGGAACTCATAAATTCACTCAACTTTTCATTGGTCATTTGCAAAATTATTTTGTTAAGGAACATTCTGATTGTATGCACCAGCACTCCGAAGTTGATATTAAAAAGATGCTTGAGTTTCTGATCTATGTGGTTTTTGGAGATCAGGTTTTTCCAACAATCGATTGGGATTCCGTTGGGTACCAATTGCATGCCTTTATTGGCAGACATATTGTTGAATTGATTTGAAGCAGAATTTGTCTAAAATCTTGTACGTGAGAAGAAGGAAACACTTGCTGTGGCCTTCAACTCGACATTTATATACATATATTGACGACGTTTTGTAAATTACGTTTTGTAAATTAACTATGGTTATTTCCAGTCTTATGTCGATACTAAATATCCTGGTGGGAAAAGATACCACAGAGTCTGACACATCGATCTCTTTCATATTTAGAAATTTTCACTTGAAAAGACGTTAATGGTAATCTTAACAACCAAGATTTATGACAAACGAGATGACTTTAACTTTTCAATCGTCAACATTCCTTAATTATTCAGGCAATATACCTTCATCACCTGCATACGGGATTTATACTTCTCAGTTGATTTAATACGTAAAAGCATGCTATACGTATGAACGATTTTTAAAACGAGATAAGTTATTGACAAACAAGTTGACGAAACATATATAAACAAAGTTTTGGTTTACTTGTTTCATATATACCAATTGGTAGTCTCTACCTGACCAATAAATATGACTCACAGCGGTCGTGACAGGTCAATAGGGAATGTTTACTCCTCCTTGGCACTTGATACCACCTCTGATGTTTCTGGGGGGTCCTTGTTTATGCTCTTTTCGAGGATTTGTATCGGTTACATATTTTGTTGAAATCGATAACCGATTTTTAAGATTATGTAAGATCACATTTTTCCGAAACAATTTAAATTCTAAATTTCAGGAACATCAAATTGGGGTCGTTCTTCGTTTTCCTGCTTATGTCTGCCGGGATAGTGTCTGCTGGAATTAAAGAACACAAATACAATGGAAGCTTCTTCACGTAAGACTTAATTATCCCAATCAAATTTCAATTAAATCAGTATTTTTGTTATAGAAGTGATATTGTGTAAAAACCCTTTTAGTTTTATCCATCTTGTGAAAATTCGATGTTATTCAGTTTCGTTCCCCACAGTCTCTAGAAGAAAAAAGATGGATTAAATAATTTTATGTTAACTTTTTTCAATATTTATGTTTCGAAGTCGAGATCCATAATACATAAGTAAATTGTAAGATTGTAAGTCATTTTTTACAAGTTTGCTTTTTACAAAAAGTGAATCATCCACATTAATTATCAAGAATATGTCAGTTGCAGGTCTTAACTGTTAAAATTCATTTGCTTCATCTATTGGAATTATCTTATCAAAAGTTCTATTGTTATATGACCAAGGAAGTGTATGTTATCTTAAGGAAAAAATAAAGAATAATAAGATTAAGCAGCCACGATTATAACTAATATATTTTACATTTTTACAATTTTTGTTTAGTTTTCAATGAAGAATATATGTAGAATATTTTTGATAATGTACAGAATGCAGTCTGACGGCGGAGCGTTTTGGAACAATGTTTACATTACACCTTGGTGCCGAGTAGCTGCATTTTGTGTGGGCTTATTTCTTGGTGTCATTTTCTACAAAAAACCAAAAGCCAATCTAACAAGGGTATCATCATTTATTTTGTTAAAGCTCAAATTTATAGAAGCATTAAACAGTTTTGTGAAATATATTTAAAAGTTTATGTACATTAGAACATTGTACATGTTGCAGGAAATAAAAATGAACGAGTACAAAACACGAGTATATTACGCATCATTTGTGCTTTGTTTGTTTAACTTCAAATATAGGTATCTAGAGAACGAATTAAAGAAATTAAAATTGTAAACATTTTCTTACCTACAGACAAAGGCCTTCATTGGATGGTGTGTAGCTGTGACTGTAGGATTTACACTTGTTTACTGCACATACAGCGAAAATAAGAAAAATGGAGAAACGTGGTCACGCAATTTCCGTGCTGTGTACGAATCTCTTGGAAGACCTTTGTGGTCTGTTTGCGTTGCCTGGGTAATTGCTGCCTGTCATTATGGGCGTGGAGGTAAGATTTAAAATAGATTGAACAGATTTGATATTTACATTCTCTATTTCGCTTTCCAAAGTAATGCTGAAATTTTCTTGCCTAAGTGTTGCAGTGATTGAATATTTCATTTTTAATTTCATGTATTCCCCTTTTCCTAAAGGATACATTTAATTGTCGTCTCTATCTTTAAGATGTCGTGAATTTGTTTCATGTACACCATTTTCCTATATGATGCATTGAATTGTCGTCTTTATCTTTCAGGTGTTGTAAATTCCATCTTATCCTGGAGTGGGCTGGTCCCTTTGTCTAGAATGTCGTACGCTGTGTATCTTGTACATCCAATAATGATGATGATTTACGTGTTCTCAAAGAGGTCACTTGTCTACATCGCGAATTATGACATTGTGAGTACTTACTTTCTAAAAAGACTATATTTATATGAAATAGAAAAATAATGAACTCTAGAAAAGTGTAATGGTAAAAATTTCTATGGTCTCAAATATTAGTATTTCACTCCAAATGTTGTTTTCATATGACTTATTGGGTGCAAATAAGATTGAAATGTTAAATGGAAATTTCAAAAAATGTTCAGACACGTACTTGTCACATTAAAGTAGCCTATATGGACAAGGATTCTAAAAATTGATGTCTACATATAATAAGATTAAGAAAGTTGACATATAAAGAATATTCTGGTATAGTTTGCAGTAAAAAGTTCTAATACCATATAAACTTGACTTTTGCAGATTTATTTATTCCTTGGGCATACTGTGATGTCATTTATGGTAGCTTTCGTGGTGTCACTGGCTTTTGAGGCGCCCTTTATGGCTTTGGAAAAGTTAATTATCGGTGGAAGAAAGTGAAAAAGAGGAAATAAACAATATCCAATATTTTTCTCATTTTTATGAACAGGGACTGATAAAATTTTGTGTGCTTTCAGATACAAATATACTTTATTGTACATAATCTCCATTTAACTGATATTTATTAAATTTTATACTATCCAAATATTGTAAATTAATACATGTACATATGTATGCCTTTTGCTTTCATTTGTATGACTTTTGCTTCATAGAAACATCATATCAATACATATCTAGAATGAGTGAACAAGGTTAGTAAACTATGTTAATAATAAGGTTGTTAATGATTAAGGAAAATAGAGTGAAAAGTAATTTTTCAAACTTCTACATCAAAGCAATTATGTCATGAACCAATAAATGAATAAATTGTCCTTTCATGTTGAATGTTCAAAGTTAAAAGAAAAAGTTCATTATGATAAGGTTTGGGCATTTACTAATATTTTTATATTGAAGCTTTAAGAATACTGTGGAATCATCAATGTTCCTGGGGGATCAATGTCCATGGCTTTCGTGGGTGACCCTGACCCACGAATTTACATCTCCACAAACATTTGTTTTATTATTCATTTAAAGTTATATTACGAAATAGAACTTGTTACCAACGAAATTACGTCCCCATAAACCAGGAAAGTTTGGCTTCCCACGAATACTGACCCCCACGAATAAAAATGATTTCACAGTACGTAGTTCTCAGATTTTTTACTTTGAATTCTTTTACAATATTGGTTTATTTAGTTGTTGATACATTTCACTTCAGATCTGTGATATTTTCTGTTTCAATAAACTTTAATAATTATACTTACTTTATATGACTTCATTTCCAAAGAAAATCATGTCTCACCAGTGAAATAACTTTTATTTCTAACCACAAGGATTTGATTTCGTGTTTATTAATTTTTCTTTTCTTTTCTTTTCCTTTCTATTCTTTTTGGAACAGTACCGCAAGCAGCAATTGAAAACATTGGTGAGACACCATGTATGGCTAAATGATTTGGGGATTTAAAATTGTTTACATGATTTTTTACAACAAACTGGAGAAACTTCAACCATTTATTAATTATTTACTCTCGCCGAGATACAAGAGGTAGTATTTACTTTATTTACTCTTCGTGAAATATATGAAAATCTCAAGGTTTTTCTATTTTTGATATTTTTACAGTGAAAATATCATTTCGATTTTTCTCAGTGAATAGTATCATTTCGATTTTACCTAGTGAATTATATCATTTAGATTTGTCACAGTTTAAAATGAAATATATTGGGACAACGAACAGTATTCAAGATCAAAAGTAGAGGGTGTAATCAGGTGCCATGGAGGAGTGAGCATCCCTTGCTGACCTGTCACTCCCGCCGTGTGCTCCTTGTCATGATCGGGAAATAACGGCAAAATTCGTTGTCAATTCAGTGTAAAAATAATGGACTAACAATTGGTATGAAAAACGTCAGTCAGCATTTGACTCAACGAAAAATTGTATTTGATGACAAGGTCATTGTATCGACCGTAGAACTTACGAAATGATGACTTTAAACGAGACTGTTGATATTCTTGTTTCATCAACTTGTTTGTCAATAATTTACCTCGTTTTAGAAATTGTTCATACATAGAGCATGCTCTTGCGTATCCAATCAACTGAGATATATAAACTCTGTATGCAGGTGATGAAGGTATATTGCTGTATAATGTTGAAGATAGAAAAGTCAAAGTCATCATGTTTATCATAGAGCTTGCTTGTTAGATTACCATCAACGTCCCTTTCAAGTAAAATATTCAAATATGAAACAGATGTGTCAGACTCTGTGGTATCTTTTATCTCAAGCTCACCAAAAAAACCTTTAAATACACTGAAAAACATTATTTACCGCTAATATGTCATAAAATGAGATACTAGCCAAACAAAGACTTTGCTTACATGCACATCACTCTATACATGAATATAATGGTGTCAGGGGGATATTAATACAATAATCAAACAAACAGAAACATTAATAACCAATTTTATTAGAAAAAGTAGACTATAGTTATTGATTGGTAATCCCATTTTGATTCCCTAGTTTTCTAAATGTAAATGGAATTAACGTGACCTTTAATTTATGTACATCGAAATAAAAGAAATATGAAATATGCACATACTGAAACAGTGGTTGTCATAAAATACTAAGGTATCTGCATTCTTAAGAACTAAAATCTAATTCATGTATACATAGATTAATTTCAGATTTATATAAACGTATGAAAGATGAAAGAGGTAGGAAATCACAAATAAACATCCATTTATGTATATTTACAGAAAATGCAATCTAGTTAAAATAAGACATATTCTTTCTAAATGAACACACGAGTATGTCAACCTGTCAAATTTATTGGCCATTTTCGTCAATGAAAATGTACATAATATAACAGGACAAATGCCTCATTAATTTCCTTCTGTAGTAGTATGTATGTTTTTTCTTATCTGAAAATGGTCCATAAAATGTAGGGTATTAGGGCCTCTGTAGTATCGAAAATGAATTGTTATCAATGGAAACTGAGATATCTTTACTATTTATGTAAAAGGATTGCTCCGTTTTTGGGAAAAAAAAATGTATACATGTGTATCACATGATATTTTCCAATCTCTGTAGACAGAATATAAAATTCATATCCCTGTAATTATAAAATAATAATCAGAAGAAATGACAGATTCATTATCAAAATAGTATAACACTAATGCTCTCTTTGTAACAAGCATCACCAAACTCGACATTTTTTAACTGGATTCATGTAAGAATTTGCAGGACAATTAAAAACTTCTGAAAATTCTGGCATGCTTTGCAATGTTCCTATAACCCTGAAAAAAGAATAGCTTCATTTACTTCACACAGAAAAAGAAATTTTCCTTTTACATTATGAACGAAATTCACAGTTATTGAAATCTTTAATCGAAGTACTACAGAGATAGGTAAAAAAATACCTGAATTTTCCAGGGCTATGAAGGGTTGTTCGGATTCTATTTATAACTGCTCTTGGTCTCATTGTACCACACCATACCTGTTGTATCATTAAAGTCATTCAAAGTGATACATAGTTGAACTAATGTTTATACTGTAATCTGAGTTAATTTGTGTCCAAATAATTTTTTTTTAAGAATGGTATCGAATTTAACGATTTGATCACTTTTTGCCTATTACAGTACAGGTTGTGATGAGTGATAAGGGATTTGATTTTTTCAAAGAGGATAAAACTTTTTGAACATTTTACATGTTTTCAATCAGAATGTAAATTTCTTTAACTATTTAACTATGTCTTTCTTAAAGTATTTCTAGTAAAAAAAATGTTGTTTTCTACAAATTGATATTTTTTTAGGATCATAGCTACGGACATAAATAATAAATCAAATAAATAAATAATTGATAAATCTAAAATGACCATTAAAAATGATTAACCTAGAATTACGAAAATGCTTTTCAAAATGTATAGTAGACAAAACATACGGTATATATTTTTTAAGATAAATTTTGATTCATTAATTATACGTTTTGAATCATAAATACCTGAGCGAAATTCAGGAAGAATAGTTGTTTGTTGCTGAGGTGTGATAGTCCTGGAAGTCTATCAGGTTCTCGGTCTTGTTTGTGTATCCACTTCTCATAAGCCTTCATAAGACATGTTAAACATTAACATTGATATTAAGATAAAAACGTAAATCAAAACATACAACGAGGCATTATTGTTAAAATATTTATAAATTCTTAAGCAATTACTCTCTTAAAAAGACCAGAAGAAAATTATAACTTTATGTTCTCTAAAAATTTCCAGGTGTGGTCCACGTTTATTTGCCATCATCTCTGAAAATTCCAAAGGTCAGTGTTTTTTGCCCTCTTCACATGTTTGTATTGTGTATGGATTTTGTTTTGATCACTATCTGTTATCTTTACTTTTACATTCATAATTAAATTTCCAAGAATTTTCAAAATGAAGTGAATGTGAACCCTTATAAACCAAGTACAATCATGATCTATAGTTCTTAGTTATACCTCCACTTATAACTTTTTTCACAACACTATAGCAAAAAGTGAATAACACACATTAAGCGCATTTTCAACTTCTTTACATCTTAATCTTTACTGGAGGACGTATGCAATAATTGCCCGAATATAACCTACCCTATAAGCTTCTTTTAACCCTCCATTGTCTGCTATATTTTCTCCTTGTGTTTGAACTCCGTTCAACTGCAAATATCAACACAAAAATACCATCAAAATTAAAGAAGATACCATAAAAACCAAATATATACAATTGCGGTTAAATTATCAATTTTAAACCAGAAAAAATGACATTGCTTAAATGATTCATTTAACATTGTATATTATTCACTTACATTTATTCCAACCTCAGGCACTGTGTAATTTCCATACTGCTCTATTATACACTGAGCTTTCTCCTTGAATTTAGCTATCACTTCATCATCCCACCACTGTTTTAGATTTCCAAATTTGTCAAATTGTCGGCCTTTAAAAGATAACAGCACGTGATAAATTAATACTGAAATGTTAGACAATCATTTACACACTGAATCGTCGGCGTATTTTTCGGTTATTTTCCCGATCATGGCGAGGAGCACACGGCGGTTGTACCGAGTGACAATGAATGCCAACTCCTCCATGGCACCTGATCCCACCTGATGCTTTAGATGTTCATGTTTACTCTGCTCCTTGTACTTAATGAACTTCGGAACTCGAATACTGTTCTTTTACCTCCATGGCATTCATTATATTGGGAAAGTATTCTTCATATGCTCAATTTTTTATTTCTGGCACCATTTTAGAACATTATAAATCTTCTCAATGTATACATATTTTTTTAACAATAAAGATTCTCACCTCTATCATCAAATCCATGTGTAATTTCATGTCCTATTACCATGCCAATACCACCATAATTTAGAGATCTGAAGGAATTCAAATTGGAGAAATAAAAATTATTATTGTTATCACAAATACAAGAATTAATTTAAAATTCAAAGAATTATCTACCTTGGGTAACCTTTACTGTAAAATGGAGGTTGAAGAATCCCCGCAGGAAACACTGTTTAATGTGAGAAAGTCATTCGCAATGAATTCAAGTACTTAGAATCTTCAATATTCATTGAGTTCTAGTGATAACTTTTACCCTCGAATTTATCTTCCCACAAACAAAAAACAGTAATATAAATAATTTGCTTATCATTTTCAATATTAAACTATTTTTAAGCTGATTTAATATGAAAGAGACATGAAAATGATACATAAGTCCACTTTCATACTTATTTGATTTTTGGTTGAGCTGTAGAATGCATTCACTACCACTGGTGTAGTCGACCATCTATTGAAAAATAAACATTCTTTATTATCTAAGTTCATTATGGAAAAAATGCCATGTAATTAGAAGTCAAGAATCCATGAACTATTTTAAAGTTGATATTTAGAAATAGATGCATACTTAGTTTTATCAACAGGCTCCCGCAGTTTTTTCGAGTTGCTCCAAGCTATCGACCGAATATTTTCCAACACATTTTCGAAATATGTATCAGAGGAGAAAGTTACCTTTAAATTGAATTAGAATCAAATTTATTAATTTTCGCTGAGACAAGAATATCAATTTAAACAACTCACAAAGTAGAAATTACTTAAATTCATTATTCTTTTTTTTTTTTAAGGAAAAATGTTAGACAAAAGAATAAGCAACATTGTTCATTTAATTACATACTGCATTGTAGCTTTCATCCAATGCTGTATCGTTCAGAATGAATGGTGGGTATCCTATTTTTTCTGCCATAGCCTCAGCCTTATAGAGATCAACATTTTGTTATCAAAACAGCAAATGTTTACATGTTGTTATACATAAGCAATAATTTAAAAAACCTGTGAAATTCAATACTTGTACCTTTTCTTTAGCCACTTGTCTAGTTTTCTGATCCAGCCACGACACTTCTTCCAACAAATCATAAAAGGCAGCCCTGATGTCATGAATCATATTTAAAGCCTACAATAAAAAATGTAATGTCATGATACTTAAAGATATATGAATCATCTAGTTCATAACCTATACATCTGTATAAATATACGCTGTATCAGTGTTTTATTAGAATTTTTGGAACAGCAGTGCTGTTGATTTAAACATTGTACATGAAACAATTTCAGGAAATATAGGCATTAGAATACATGCAATCGATTGTGAATTTAACTATATGTGTATCACTTTTATATATACCAAAAAATAAATTAAGTTGGGTTAATTTTTCTTCGACCACCAAAATGCAGTTGGGGCTGTTGAAACGGCCTATTTTGAAATGACTGTATATATACTTCTGGGTCACTTAAAAATTAAAAAAATAAACGACTATGGTTGTTAAATGAAGCCTCTTAGGTCTAACCCTTTGCCTGCGGACATACCACTTCCTTTGCTCCTGTATCGAAGTGATCCTTCACAAACAGGCGCCCTACAGCGTTACCCATGTTGTCATTGACATAGCTAATGCAGTCTCTCCATCGGGACCTCTCCGTGTCCGATCCGTATATTTTCTAGAAAAGTATGTAGAAAGTACCACTAATTTATTGAATATTCTTTTTTAAGGATTATGTAGAAATAATTCACTCTGTATGCGATATTCATACCTTGTAATATTCTGTTCGAACATTCCTGTACATCTGTGGTAAATTTGTAACCCGGTTCATCATAATTCGCCAAATCATATAATTTGCCAACAGCCTGATAAATAAAAAATACATGTTTTATCAAAATTACCACAATAGAAAAGTAAATACAATATCCAGATAAATTAGTTATACCTGTTGTTTGCTTTTTCGACTGTTTTCACCATTTTACTGAGATATTCTGGGGCATAAACGACAATTTCCTCTGTTTCAGGAATTGTGATGTTTACTTTTTCAAAAATCAGATTGAGATACAACAGCCAGTCAAACTACAAATAATAAAATCATTACCATTACGAGGGGCTATCAAAAAGTTCGTGGACTAGCGCCATAAAATTAAAACCGCTTCAGGTACATCAATGAATTTTGAAATATTTAGTAAGCATTATCTTTTCTATCTATAGAATAAACCACAAATCATAAATTTTATTTTTAAATAAATTAGTAAAGTTTTTGTAAGCAATGGTATGTCCAGGCGGCGCAACCTCAAAAACGACGTTTTTTCGACCTGAGTGTAACTACGATAAACTAATTTGATATGAACATTTGACATCCAAAAGTCCCGTTAATTCAGGTATGTGTTGGAACAATATTTTTCCATAAAATGTGGAATTTTTACCTCATTCTGGAAGTTCTATGAAATTTTATTGTAAATTTTACATGGAGTATCCAAACAAATATTGCCTTGAAAATGACGTCAAAAGGGGGAGGGGTTTCCTTTTTAACATTCTATAACGTTTTGCCCCTAGAAAAACTGGTATACACCTAGGAAATGTTTAAACTGGCTACGGAGGAATAATATGCATCCATATTACTTGTTTTTTAATGCCAAAATAGATTCAGAGAGAAAAGGGATGCAAAGTTAATGTCGATTTGTAGTCAAGGTTTGAAAAATCTATCTGTCAAATAATGACGCTGATGTGTTTTAGTTATATTGAACTAATAAATCCATTTACAGTAATATATGCATCGAAAGCTGCTGTTCATGACATTACGGGTTGAAGTCCAAAACAAGACGGGTTGAAGTCCTTACTCAACTTAAGGGAATCTCATCAAAATACTGTAAGTGTACGAGGTATAAGAAGCGGACATTGAAAAATAATGACGTTGTCGGACGTCATGAAACTAAGCAGCGATGGCGCCGGGTGATCATATAATGTTGTTTTTATTTTATAATAATTTGGGAAATAACGAACGTATCAAGCTAAAATTTTCAACATTTCTTTATTTTTTGCTTTATGTTCCGTATAAAATTTGCAAGCTCAGATAAAATAGTACTTATTTTATAGCCTTAGTCCACAAACTTTTTGATAACACCTCGTACATTAGTTGTCATGAATGCCATATTCATTCATATAAATATTGCAAAATTCACAACACAAATGACAGCATGTAACGCCGTTAGTATACCCCAGGAATTCTTTCGTGAAGTTCTTTGACTGTCATTCTATTGTATAGCTCCTCTCCATCCCTACGTTGTTCTTGGGGTGTAGTTATCTGTTAATATATTTTGTTCGTTATTCTTATGATGATAAAACATTAAATTATTTTTCCTATCATTTGTAACTGTGTAAATTCATCTTCTGTGCCTAAATCAAAGGCATACATTAATATTTTACGTTGACACTGAATTCTAAGACAACATAAATTCAAACAGCCTGATTAAGTATAAAAATAATGCTTAGTAAACTTTTGTTTACTAATCATATATTCCATTGTTGAATGATATAATACATGTATATATATATATACATAAATAAATTACATTGGCCAATTCTATCTCTAACTCGACCATTTCCCTCATGTCTAGTCTTGCTTGAGTCTCATTTGCTCCAAACATCATTGCAACATTAATTGCAAACTTTTCATAAATTTGAACATCCGCATCTTCAACTCCTCGCAGGTAATAATCACGTGATGGCATTCCAAGTTCCGGTTGGTCTAACTAAAATGAATATTCTATTTACAAAATATACATATATATTTTTACCTTCACAAATCACAATTACAAATCACTCAAACTTTTGCATTAAAAGAAAGTTTTGAACGTGATTTATTATTTGAGTGATAACTTAAGAAGTCAAAAACCTTCATTTGTTTTCAAGAGAAAAACGAGAAAAGGTCAAAAACCGAAGAATTCCCTCTCTCACCTGTATTATATTAACATCCGAGTTTTTATCGTCTGCGCTCACCCACTGATCAACAAATATTTTGTTATTGTAAAGTTTCAGCTTCACTAAAAGCTCTGTAAATTTGAACTTAGATTCGTCCCATTGTTGACTTGATTTGTAGGTGACTGGCCATCCCCCGAGTTCTTCAAGAAACCTGTTCACTGGTTCAAGCCCTCGCTCCTCAATCATTGCTATTAAAATCATGAAGTGATAGAGCTTGAGAAAAATAACAATGCCTCTTATATTAATTTCAGAAGTTATAATTTATATTATTTTCTGTTTGGCAGTCATAAACCAATGATACACAATTATGCATAATGAAGCAGTTTTATTTTATTATCATAATTTTTTTTACAATTTGTGGTAACATCTCATACGTAAGGAGGTGTTTATACCAAATTAAAATAGGGAAAAAAACTCGATTAATATATGGTTCCGAGGAAAGTCCGTTTTTCGATTTCATGATAACGCAAACGTGTATTTCGTTGATCATATAATTCGTTGATTCGTATTTCGTTGATCATATAATTCGTTGATCTGTCTCAATTTACACCAAATTCAAAGAGAGATAATTTTTTTTTAATTGCTCACTTGGAATACATTTAACTCTTTGTGTATGGGACAAAATGTATGTCCTATTAAAACTACGATTGATAAATGAATTCGAGGAAACTATATTTGAAGATTTCATGATAACACAAATGTGAAATTCGTATACATGTATCCTCTAATTCATTGGTCTGTCTCAATCAAGAAAACATGTGCCTAAAAATTATTTGAAACCATAGCTTTAAGGATGTCAGCAAACTATTTTACATTATACAACGAATAGGAAAATAATTCATTCAAGAAGTTATGCATTTATTCAATGCCATTTTTAAATCCTTTTTTTTCCAAATCACAAATCACATTTTAACATCATTTATCAAGCAATGATATTTACATCAAATGAATATCACATCCCCTTTCTTTCTTATGAAAATCACTGTATACTTTAACACTGCTAAGGAATCCATTGCATAGATTTCTAGAGCATGAATGAAACATACAATGCATGAAACATATAGAGAAAACGAACAGTATTCAAGATCAAAAATCCATAAGACAATTCAAAACAAGAGCAGATCAAACACGGACCTCCAAAACATCAGAAGTGGGATCAGGTGCCATAAATTCCATATTAATAATACAAAATGTAGCATACATACCTAAACCGGCTTTACAATAGAACAAACAATAACATATACCTTTATTTGACTATGAGTACGGGAATTAACGTAGCATCAATTGCAGAAAAAATGCAAAACCCAAAACCTGAAAAAACCTCAACCAGTAAAGTACGTATTTCTCATTCTAGTTTGAATTTACCTTAAAGTACGTATATTTCAATTTCTTTACCTGGCTTTTTCCCTGCTCATTTTTTTCATTGTTGAATCTGCCTAACTGAATTTTAATGGGAGCTTCCATGGGAAAAAAATCATCTACTTTTTTCATTTAGACTTCAGATGTTCTTAAATTGTGTCAAAAAGAACAATTTTAAGAGCATCTGTAAATGTTTTTGGAACTTGTGTCCAATTCCTCCGACATGTTCTCAATAAAACAAAACAAATGTTTTCAAAAGAAATTTTGTTCTTCCATCCTAGCATTAAATAAATTAAATCTCGTATATTCCTATTGATACTTTCAGCAATCATAATTTAATAGGAAAAAAGTAACTGCTGAATCTATCGGTTATTACTCCTCTCATTTTATATAATATTGTATCTGACATTCAAGATCTCTAATACTAGTATCACATAAAATCCCACCTGTTTAGAATTTAATTGATCAATATAAGGCATTTGCTCAGCACCTTAGAGAATTGTTATCAATTAAATGTGTCTTTCATTCGATAGATTTTAAGAATAAGCTTACAGTGTACTTCTTATTTTTTTTAGAAACATGTAACGACCCACGCTCAAAATCTATGTATGTCCAAATTCAAGAAAATGTTCAAAAGCTACGAAGTACGAAACCATGCTTAATTGTAACAGGCGAGGAAATCCAAAAGTGATTGCTGAATCATACTCTATTGCTTTTGGAAGTTCTTCCCCGAACACATACTAGTAATTTCCAACTATAATACAAATGAGACTCTTTGTTATGCCAATTTAATATATGAATGGGCGTGGTTGGTATGATATCTGGATACTCGTGATTTCCACTCAAAATTTCAAAATAAACATCACTGCTATACTTACACTACCTCTGTATTATTTATGATATACTGACTATAGAGGCAGAAAGAAGTGAAATCGTGGATAAAATATTGTGGATTGATTTCAAGCAAAAGATCAGGATCCATGGTAAACACGTTTTCTCCTATTCCAACAATAAACCACGCGGACGTTTTGATTGATGATCTCGAAGATAAAAAGAACGTTGGGGTTGTTCCTGGGCAGAGAGGGGGTTAAACAATAAATATTTGCAGTGGCAGAACTGTTTATCCAGGTGTGAGTGTTAATTTTGTTAATTAGCAAGAAGAAAGAAGATAAAAAAAAACTCAAGACGTCGAAAATCATACGAAAAGAAAATCATACGAAAAATGTTTAGAAATTAGACAGATAGGAAACGTATACTTATATATATACATAATAAGTGGGTACTTACATTCATTAACACATGACCTGTAAAGATGCTTGGCTTTTTGAGTGGCCTCTGGTTCTGTACTTGATATTTGTTGTTCCAGTAAATCTGAAAATAAATTTTATTATATACGATGGAATTAAATCTTAAAAGAAACATACTTTAGGATAAATAAGACATTCAAAATCAATGCCCGCTCGACTGGCATCTATTATGGATCTGACTGGAAAAGCTCAATAGTCACCAGAGATGGAATTAGTTTTCTTTCATTCTAAAAATGTAATGATCACACTTTCAACAATATTCAACGATACTTCTATCTTCTCTCTATATAACTGTTTCTTACAACAGTGACAATGTCTCTAAAAACATATATCAATATAAACATACAGATCCTTAGTTCGGCTCCAAAAATTTATGATAATTATACTGGATTATGTATATCCGTAAAAGGTTTTAACTTTTATTTTACAATTAAGCATCAGATCAAAATGGATTAAAAAAAAACAAAAAAAAAAACTTTTTAAATACGTGACAATACACTGTACATTAAGATGTCTGTGCTTAATGTGGTAGTTTTGTTTAGAATGAAGGCATTTGTGATTAAAAAAATTAAATATGAATGTATCTATTCCGATTAAAACATTGTATATCTTGGACAATAAAGAAGATGTGACTAGCAAAAGAAAAAAAAATATTTATGTTTGCTAAGAAATAATGATTATCGACACACTCGAGAGAGAAGAGAGTTTTCCTCGAACACATTTTAGTTATGTTTGAATGCAGCCATGCTACGATACCTGTTAAGTGTGTTGTCATTCAATCATAGAGATAATAGGCCCATTAAATTACAGAAAAATGATGTTGGCAAACATACGTAACCTTGAATGTATGATATTGTGTATAGAAAAGTCATTTATCAATATTGGAGACAGCAATCTTAAATATTTTGAGTAGGTTTTAACAAGAATTTAAAGCTGTGTACAAAACTGATGCAGATGACTATAAAATAAGACATAGTTTAGGCATTACAATGCCATGCATCCAAAAATCTTTAATGTATCTATCAACGAATTCAAGCAATCGAGATAAAATATCCCAAATAGATTTTCTTGCGTCACCTCTTGAGATAAAATTAATGTAGTAATCAGGAGCATGCATTCTAGCTGGTGGGTTCAATGAACATTCTAAAGATTAAGAGTGAAGCCTTAAAAACAGTATTGTATGTAATGATTAGAAGAAAGGAAGTCCTTATTCCTAAAACAAAAAATTCTATAATTTTCAAGAGATCCCGTTCATCATTTACTCGTTGGTATTATTTAAAAATAAATGTTTTGATTACTGGTATCAGTGACAGCATCTGTACTATACCCTATATACCTTGGTATTTTAACTTTATTAGGTGCTTCTTCCTCTAAAATCAAATTAGAGAATTCTCTATACACTTATTTTTATTCTCCCTCACTATGTTCGTTCGAATCTAAAACAATTAAATTCTATGTAATAAAATAATAGGATAAGAACTCGAATGCAAGGAATGCTTTCTCGCTGTAAACTTTTATTTTGCATTACATTATATGATTATAACTTAAATTCATTTTATTACAAATTAATTTTATATTTTGATGAATACATTCATAGAAATAAACGTTCACATAAAATACTATATATTATGTCCATTTCCTTTTTTAATATATGTGTATACACGTAGGTTATAGCGACACTCGATAATGAAACATGAATGATCGTGGATATTGAATGCTACAAATTTTATTTTATGCAAATTTTAAGAATTTGAGAAAATTGTATCGAATCGCGAACCTCGAAAATTTGAATAAACGAAAATTTGTGTACAGTACAAATTACAGTATATAAAGAAACCTCTGAGAAATCCTTAAAGATATAAACTGTCATTATGTAATAAGAAACGTTCATACTAGAGCTCAAATGTTAATTCAAAATCTAAATTTAACTATTTCAATGCGCATCATTGTATCGAAAATGATGTAAACATGACCAAAATTATTAAAAATTTACATCCATATATTATACACATAATTTGCGGGAACTGGACAAACTCTAAAATAAGGTTTGTTAGCTTTCTTTCAATGTTAACATACTGAGTTTTGAAATAACATACTAATTTACTGAATTCAATGTTCTGCTCTTTATACCTACAAATTTGAAAATAATAAGGCTATTTTTTTTTTAAATACGTCTTGATTACAAATTTATCCCCTGTAATTCAACCTAATGAGAAACAAACGATATAAACAGTATGATTTTAAAGATTTACCTTTTAGAATAACTTGCAAGTCATCGCGTAATTTGGCAAATGTATTGTAACCTGACCTGTCCTCAGGTATTACATTAATTTTATTCCAAGATCCACAAGCGTACTCAAAGAAATCATCGCATGGATCTATAGTCTGATCCATTCCCTTCAAAAGTCGAGCAGCTGAAACGTAAAATTTTTATTAAAAAACATAAATATTTACACTTGAACACATAAACAAACTTTGCTTTCATTTTCCGTTCATTATTACAATTTCAGCTACATTTATTGGTGATTTTTCACCATATAAAATATATAATTATCTCATTTGCAGTTGTCAAAACATAAAAATATACACTGTCGATTCTACTCTTTTCTTTTGAATTTCAAGGACTTGTTGAAGAATAAGTACATGCTTTCTTTTGCATGGGTATGATATTTGAAATTAATAGTAATTATTATGTTTATGTTCTTGTTTTGAAGACTAGGACGTTAACTCTGGATTCTGATAAAATTATTGAGGATCTGAACATTTTTCTTTCATAAGGAGTCATAGATCAATGGAATTTTATTTCATTCTGAAAAACATAAAAATATAAATACTGTGCTCTTAATTAATATCTTGAAAGGAACATAATGATTTGAGCAACCTTGATGCATTTTTTACTCTTCAATTTCCAGTAAGAATTTAATATTCTTGGGGTAATAAAATATATTCTTAAAGTAATATCCGCTATCATTTATGTTTTACATCTCCAATACAAAGATTTCTTAATCAGTTTTTAGGCCGTCCGTTGGAAGTTATGCGTTCAGGGGAATAACATTATATCGAATATAGATCTATGCTTACATGCTTTGACACATTCTTCTGTCAAACATATCCCGTGTTTAGACTCTTCTCCTTTCCGTTGATTTTCTCTATCGCTCACTATAAACAAAAAAAAAATATGAACATATTTACTTAGACTGGATATTCGAATTACATGGTATTTAAAATCGATGAAGAAAGACACATCAATTTACCTCTTGTTGTTTCTATTACTATTAGGATGGTCGTAACGGCAATGCATATAAGACAAATGAAAATAAGGATTATTTCAAGGCGGGTTCTCTTTCTATTCCACCATGGTTGATTGAAATCATTTTGTGATCTACAATTAGTTGAAACAAATAAATGGCAATTAGCTTCAAATCAAGTTGCTCGGTATACATGTTTTTATGAAATCATGAGAAGCACACAAAATGCACCCGATCCTACATTGGTTTTCAGATGTCCGTTTTGGTGCTGCTCATAATTTGTAATGTGTTTAAATGGACATTAAAGAGTGATCACTTTTTGTTTTCTTTACATTTCTAACATGAATCATATGAAGATAACGAACAGTATTCAAGCTCAAAAGTCCATAAAACAATACAAAATAGGAGCAGAGCAAACACGGACATATATTTCTGCTGGTAGACAGTCTCTCCAATGGTATATTTTTGGATTCGTTCCCTACTGGGCAATCAAGAATTTAACTCAGAATGCTTTTGACTTCTCTGTTTTCCGAGGTCAGTGTTCGCTCTTCTCCTAATTTGTATAAATTAAATTTGAGAGTGGTTCCCGTTCGTGATCTTCAATTCATCTTTAAGGTTATTGGGAAAAAGCTTGCTAGATGCTTAATTAAACCTATCGTTTAAATACCACTTAGGCCAAGATTGGCCACTGGACATAGCTGGGCAATAGAGTCCTCCTCTCTGTTGGTAGCCTAAGTTTTAATATTCGTGTTTTGATTGAAAAATTTGAAATCGTGAAGATGCAAGAAAAATGTTTCCTTCATCAGCTGAATATTTCATTCCATTCAAATTGTACTTTGAAGTAAGATTACTGCAAATGATTAACTGCCAATAAAGCAAAACTGTGTTATTGAAGAGGAAAGCTATCGTTCTGTAAACAGTGGACGTGTGAAATCCCCTTGCTATCTGTTTGTAATGATATTAGTGATAATCTTATCAGCTCTTCTGGAGAAATAATGAACGAGTAGCAAATGTAAAACTGATCTACAAAATAGTTGAAATATGAGTAAATCTTAGGTATTAGTAAGTTTATATACAGTTTGAACAATATTTTTATATAATAATTTAGTGGCCTTTAAGATTTATTTAATTTATAATATAGTGGGTTATTTAGATTAATAAAATGTAAGTATAGTTCTTATAATTAATCAAAAATATGCTTTACATACGATAAAACTCAAATAATATGGAAAAGACGTAAAGATGGCATTCATATATTGAAGAGTAATGGTTGTCAGTTTCAACCCCTATCTAAAGTAACAACGATATCATCCATTTTGATTCAGCTGAGAGTATGTCGACGTGTGAATTATTATGTGATAACTATATCAACATCGGCATCTTGGGAGGAAGTAATAATTTGTAAACATTTCTGACAGGAAACAAGATTCACGTTCACTGTGATGAAAACAACACATTTTCTTCCTTGGCAGAGACATTTTAAACACTTGGGAAATTGCTTTCGCCGAAATGTTTCAGACAGCTTACATGATAAGATATTTTATCGTTCACTTCATTTTCGCAAAATTCAAGTTGTATTGTTTATACTCAATGGCTTTTGTGTTTTCTTTTTCAGCTTCATAAACTTTTTAAAACGGACAATATTGGCCATCTCTACGCATCTGATGATCTATATAGATTTATCTCTATCAAATAGAAATGCAAGACATTCGTGTAAAAGTAAAAATAATATACGAAAACAAAAATGAAATCCGAATAAAATGTATAAATTTCTCTTAACAATTAAAAGAAATTTGATCAAACAAAATATTGGCTCTATTGCATATCTTTACAGTCATGATATTTCATTTCTCATTTCTTCCTTCCATTTGAAATGACGGTTAACTTTCAAGTCTTCGTAATACACTTTAAAAAATGAAAGTTTAAGAAAAAATAAGGAGTTTGGGATTTGAAGCATGCAGCATGGACAATTTTAAAGAATTATTAATTTATTGTCCTTTTTTAAAAAATTTAATTTCAAAAAAAATAATACGTTTATCATACCTATCATCAATTTATTCTTTGACAATTTTATATTTTTTTCTTTGGTTACCTACTACCTTTAAAACAATTTAGAAGAAAAGGTGCAATAGTGAGGTTTAAACTAATGAAAAATGTTAAATTGCATACATAATAAGTATGTTAACTGCTCAAGCAAATTGATTATATCTTCAGTTCCATTTATGATAATATGTAATATAAGAGAAACATATCTAACAAAATTAGTTATCAAGCAATATATTGGAAGTTGGTCAATTCAAGAATTGCTTCATCTAAATATCGTTTTGGTCAGCTTAAGGCAATTTTTTAAAGACGTTTACAAGCTCAAAAAAAAAACATAAAACACACATAAAAAAAAACTTATAAATCTTTTGCAACGACTGGTTTTCAATGCCACAAGAACACAGTATATCATGATGTTACTTTTAACATAATTACTTGTAGTACGAGATCAGTGATTGAACTTTTAGATAATAAAACATATGAAGATAACGAATAGTACTCGACCCCAAAAATCCAGAAAAGAATACAAAATGGTCCTGAGCAGAGAAATACGGTATAAGTAATATTAAAGTTAGTATTATGTCGAGACCGTTGATATAAACATACTCTTCTCTAAAAGGAAAACCAAACCGATATACTCATTCCTAAATAGACCACATGTTACAGATGTACTGTGGTGTGTGAATCTCATAAACTCCAAAGAATTTCAGTATCGTTTGACTTTCTGACACTGCACATTCATCCCTTAGGATAAACCGAACATTTATTTTTATTTTACTCTTCTTAATTCATTTGTTTGTTCTAAAAGGCTTGATGGTTGCTTGAATACAATATATCTTGCTATTCTTATACAGGTGAATAGAAGAGAAACTTTTTTTCGAAGTTCATTAGATCGGAAGGTTGCAATTGTGAATTCGAATCTCAGACGCGACAGACCTAAGTCGAGAAAAATAGCAACAACAGTTCCTTCGCCATGCACCCGGCAAGTTGAAGTGAAAGTTGTGTGTTATTCAGATGAGATCGTAAAAACCGAGGTTCTGTATCGAGTGCCGAGTAAAGATCAAAATTCAAAGCCTTCATCGGTATATGGTGACGTCTTTATATAAGTGAAAAATTCTCGAATGTGGTGTAAATTTAAACAACATACAATCAGCTTTTTTACAAATAAAATATGGAGGGAGAAAATGAACAATATTCAAGCTCATAAGTCCATTCAATGCAAACCAGGAACATCAGGGGTGGGATCAGGTGCCATCGCGGAGTGAGCATCCCCTGTCTACCGGTCACACTCCGTCATACAAAGAATTTCCCTGTTCAAAAGAGCCCTACAATAACACCAGAGTCCCTATCCCAGTGGTTTTGAATTTGTCACCTTTGCTAATTACATATGTACAATTAGATGCACTGTTCACAAAACACCTCCTCCTCCCTGCAGAATTTTTGAAAGTGTCTATTTTCAATGTCGTAAATGTGACATTGAACTTGATGAAGTGACCTTGGTAACAAATGACATATCAACTCGACATACAATAAACTCTTAACGAAATATTAAGATCCAATATTTCTCCATTAGGAAATTAAAGATCTGTCATAATAATTATATGGAGAGAACGATCATAGGCAGTTATGCCTGCTGTGCAATCCATTTCTATGAATGAAATATATTTTAAACTATAATAATTATACGATATATGTGGCAGGGAACCCAAACTTTTCACAGTGACCTTGGGTTAAAGTCATAATATATCATATCGTCATGTCATAAACTTTTTATTTTATTTTAAAGTTCCAGTGATTTTTATTCCAAAGATATAGAGCGCATATTTTTTCTTCCTTGAATATGCCAAAATGACAACTAATCAAGCACTCTAATCCAAGGGGATAGGGACAGTGAAATTCATAATTTTTGTCCCCCTTTGCCCATAGATGATAAATATCAAAATTACTGTGAAATCACCAATTTTCGGGGGGGGGGGGGGAATCTTTGTTGTTTTTGAAGTATGGTGGAACCCTCGAATCCATGGCCATACTCAACACTTCTCCAACCACGAATTCAAAGCTCTAAAAAACAACATTTCTTTCTCGAACCTCGAAAATTTAACCAAACGAAAATTATGTGATTTTATAGTTGTTTTTAAAAACAACTACCAGTGGGTCGTTTTGGACTGACATTATGCATACTAGTTTGAGGCCATTGTTTTATACAAACTTTAACTATGGATTATTCCTTCATATGGCTTGCGACGGGTGTGACCAGTCAGCGGGAAATTCTTTCTTCCCTTAGACCTGATCCTACCCCTAATGAAATTTACAGGGGTTTTATTTTATAACCTGTTCACGAATTAGTACTCTTTAGATGATTTCTGAGATCGATCATTGTTTTTATCTTCACCTTTGACGTACTAAGTCTTTGTGTAATTAGTAGACTTATCCACAGCTTACCCTTTGAAATCCACTTGATTCGGGTCATCCGTTATATAATATTTGGATTTTCCATTGGTTTCCATATTGAAGTCATTCGACTATAAAATCTAAAAAGTAAAAAAGCATGCCTTTAATTTCATTGTTTCTTTGATGATGATTTCGTTTTTAAATGAAAACTGAATTTTGACACAACCACATGACAGAAGCACGTACGTGCATTATTTTTCCCCCTCTACGTTCTACTTTAAGAAAAAGAAGCTATATAATGAAACAAGTTTAATAAAGTAAAAAACTCTCGAAGCAGAAAATATCTCTGACCAAAAAGAGGAAAGAGACGTAGACTCTAAAATAAATACATTTCAACTTTAAAATTTCAGTATTGATATATTTTCATTTTTTTTTTCTCATGAAAAGAATCCTAAACGTTGATTGGATAAAACAAATACTTACACACACTGTGATATATGTTAAACTTTCAATTCTGAGAGATTTTTTTCACAAAGTTTTTGTAAGAATTTAGTTGCATTTTTTGAAGATAAACAAATAAGTCTAAAAGAACATTTAGCTGAAACAGTTTGTTTTTTCACCTGAAAAATTACGATAAAGAGTATCAGAGAGATAGAGAAGATTTTTTAGAGAGAGAGAGAGAGAGAGAGAGAGAGAGAGAGATTAATTGCTCTCAGCTTCATGAATGATGTTTATTCTAAAGATAATACTTGTGAAGACAACACCCCATTTTTCCTGAATCAAAAGAGGACAATTTATTTTCATCCCTTATTAACATCAAATTCGATAGATAAATTGTTTGAAAATGATAAAAAGCAAACAATTATGGCAATTTAAAAAATCTTGCATTGAGAATCATAATTTGACTTAATGAAAATTACTTAGTAACATAAACGATTTGAGAGTTAAAGAAACTACATATTTTGATACCGTTTATCGGGCAACATGGTAAAATTGGGCAAAAATGTACAAACTATTCTAGAGCCAAATCATTTTGTGTGTAAGAAACTGAGCAGTGAAAACTTCAAAATATACCAAATGGAATTTGAAACAATGTGTAAAAAAAAATTGCTTCTTCACTAAAATGAAAACTCAGTTTGAAGTTTAAAATGTAGGACCATTTGATAAAGATACAGTAAATATTGATAAACAAAATTATATCAATGTTAGTATTCTGAACGTTCATAAAATAAGTATTTGTACAAACTGTTTATATCTGAAGGATTTTGAACAGAGCTTGCACTGTCTCATTTGTGGTATGTTTGTCTAATTCCTATCTCCTAATGCCCGTTTATAACTATGCCGACGGGCAGGAATCAATATTGAAGCCTCACAAGACTCATGAATCTATCCAGCACGTCACAAAGACGAAAATTAAATCTAAGAAATCTAATTCTTTGTATAATGATGAGGTTTATCTAATAATATGGCTGGAAAGCCTGTGAAAATTACCACTTTTTAGAAGCAGTTGTAAAAAGTCGGATCATTGTTATCTTTAACCAGAAAGACAAATCGCCCTTGTTCTGTGAGTGGTGATTACTAGTGTCTCGACTGATATAACGGGTTAAGGAAATGTAATATGGCTATTGATGTCTACTGACATTAGAAAATGTGTCTTATTTTTTGACAAAATAATTTGGCAAATAATTTACATTTATAGATTTATTGTGTAAAGAATACAGAGTCGTGAAACTCCCTCCAGGAATTAATAATTATTTCATGCCTACGTTTTTTTTTTTGAAATTACAATATTGTAAATAAAAATATTTCAAAATGTAAATTCGTATGACATGTACCTGTTTCAAGTTGTCAATACGTCATTTAAAACAACATTTTTTAAAAATCACTTCGCTTCAAGCGTAAATTTAAGTGTGTTCGCATTAAAGGTACGTTTGTTTTCCTTTTTGCTCTATTTTATTATTACTTCACTCGAAAAGCAAGAAACACACGGCTTTATTAATATTTGCTAACAAAGCTACGAAAGCCTATTAGGATCAATCTAGAGAGGAAAAAAATTTAAAAGGCGTTATAACGCCTTTCCATTCCAAAAAGGCGTTATTACTCCTTTCCATTCCAAAAGGCGTTATTACGCCTTTTTAAAAGGCGTTATAACGCCTTTCCAAAAGGCGTTATTACGCTTCTAAAGGGCGTTATTACACCTTTATAAAACGCATTATTACGCCTTTCTAAAAGGCGTTATTACGCCTTTTTAAAAGACGTTATTATGCCTTTCTAAAAGGCGTTATTACGCCTTTCTAAAAAGCGTTATTACACCTCTCCAAAAGGCGTTATTACGCCTTTATAAATAGAGAATATTACATACTAAAATCCATATCAGATGTCACATCAGCCCGAGTGGCCCCATATGATATGGGGCCAGAGGGCTGATGTGACATATGATATGGATTTTAGTATGTAGTATTCTATTTATCATATATTTAAAACACCTAATATGCAAGTTCACATATGGTCATAGATGAATATTTCGTGCTTGTTTATGACATTTTCTTTTAAATCTTATAAAGCCAATTTTAGGTAACTGAAAAAATTAAGACCATAAATGTCATTAAAAATGATTTATTATGATTATCAAAATAAAATCAAGTAAATTGACTTTTAAACGTTATACAAACGTTACTTCCGGTTTGATATGGATTTTCGGCCCGCCGGTCCGATACGTGATATGGATTTTCGGACCGAGCCGTGATATGGGGTATTGTGACGTCACCCGTATCACACCGTGCAGAATCGGTGTATTTACTACTAAGTATATGATAAAAGACGTTATTACACCTTTCTAAAAAGCGTTATTACGTCTTTATTTTGAATACATGACTAAACATATTTAGCCCAACCGAGGAGTGGGGGGGGGGGGGGGGGTGTGTGTGCAGAAATCTTACCTTCGGGACATGAATTTCACAATTTGATATAGGACTAATTTCTCAAAAAATAATTTAAACAGATAACAATTAGATTTCCAGGAAAAAAGATTTTTAAATGCGTCATATATTTTCAATGTTGAACCAACAAAGTCCTTCTTAAATACCAGACACACCTCTACCAAAGATCATTGATTTCAATTGCTCATTATACCAATGCAAATAGTTTGCCTGCAAATGACTTGAATTTTAATACATGGCAAGCAAAGCTCCAAGATACATCAGCCTATATCGTATCTTCACAGGTAGAGTGTTGCCTTCTCTAAATACGAATGCAAACAGTTGTCAGTGAGATGTGCAGGAATATAGAGAATTGCTTAAATTAAAGATTGTTTTAATTAAATCTTTCATATATTTATTAACATGAAATAACGCCTTTCCATTTTCCTTTTCAAGTAGGCCAGTAGTACGAGTGCGAATGGGGTACCCCCCCCCCTTCACATACACACTTTTGGGGAAAAGTCTTCAGTGCTACAGTTTGGATATTATAATTAACTATTGGATGCTTGGTTCCTGAACATTTTGTTGTAGTCTGTAAAACTGTGGCAAATTATTGCATTTAAACAAAAGTTTTACCGAAAACTCCCGAGTTTGGCCAGTAGAGTTGGGGTGGTGGTGGTGTTGGGGGGGCGGGGGGGGGGGTTAAAAGCACGGGCCTGTTAAATGCAAAATAATGGTTATTCAAAAAGAGTTATAACCCTTTTGGAAAGACGTAATAACGCCTTTTAAAAGGCAAAATAACGTGTTTTAGAAAGGCGTAATAACGCCTTTTGGAAAGGCGTAATAACGCCTTTTGGAAGGCGTAATAACGCCTTTTAGAATGGAAAGGCGTAATAACGCATTTTAGAAAGGCGTTATAACGCCTTTCGAAAAGACGTAATAACGCGAAAAAGGCGTTATAACGCCTTTTAATTTTTTTTTTCTCTAGATTGATCCTAATAGGCTTTCGTACAAAGCATGTCACGTCTTCAGAATTATGTATCTTTTCACCATTTTTTGTATTCCTGTAAAGAGGAAGTCTCTTGCTGTGGCCTTCAATTTGACATTAAGGATGAAGTTTCATACATTTTCTTTATTTGTTAATTTATTGGTCAATGTAGTCTCTAAGAGTTGAGCTTTCGCATCTTGATCAGAAAGTCTGTGTTCGAGGGACTGCATCGAACTAGGAAGTGTCTTTTTCTTCGCAGTACGCCTGGCATTAGAAGTGGTAATAAATACCAGGGTTTCAGATGATACCTCTAAAAACGATTCTTGTAATGATGTGATGGAGCGCTTTCATTTCTCATTGACCCTGAGTGTCGAGTTTAAATTTGAAGCCGTTTACCTTATGTGATGACGTTTCTATGAATATGAAAAAATCCTCTAATTGGATGTAAAACAACATACGATTAATTAAACAATCAATCAAATAATCTTTCGTTGATCTGATCCTTTTTTTATTTATAAACAGAAGGCAACAAAGAGTCAGTCAAATTTGTTTCAAATTTTGATATTTTACTAGACTGATGGCAAAATTACAACTACTTATTAAGGTATCAACAATCTCCTTTAGAGCCAACATTTCGCAAATTTTATGGTCAATAAAATCCGTACCTTGTTTGCATCCTTTCGATACATCGAATATTGAATACAAATCATTGTCCGCGACTGACCCCTTAAAAATGGGTAGCAACTGAAAGTTGCGGGTCCTTCGGATGAGACCTTAAAAACAGAGGCCCCGTGTCCTGGCAGACGTTGGCATGAAAAGGATCCCTCGCTGCTCAAAGGCAATGAGTGCCGAGTAAAGGTCAAACTTTGAAGCCCTTCACCGGTATATGGTGACGTCTCTATATGAGTGAAAATTCATGAATGGGACGTAAAACAGCATACAATCAATCAATCAATCAATCAATCAATCAAATCATTGTCCATCATTTCCACACCGAACAAGCTATAACAGAATTATCCATTCATCCATGCAATCACGAAAATGGGGTAACGTAGGGTTTGACCAGTTGACACTGAATATTTGCTCCACCATGGTACCTGTTTCAATTTTTGAACTTTTCAGGGGTATGTGAATGCCCTGCTCTCAATTTATATCGTTTATTTGAACTTTGAAATCTACTGTTCGTTATCTTCATATTTTATCTTTACAAAAAACTGCCTTTATTCAATAAAAGAAATTGCTTTTATGCTTGAAAGAACTCTTGAACTGATGACATGTATATTTCATCCTATTATTTCTTCCAAAGAACATGTATTTTCGAACAATGACCTCTGAGCATTTTGTTTACGAACAAAACGATTTTGTTCTGAGAGTCGGATAATGAGAGTTTTGTGACGATTGCAGAATTCATGCAATTAAACAGGAGACCCAAGGGCCTTAAAAATCCCCAGTGTATTTATACAGCACCTGTTGTTAAACTTATGCATGAAATACATGGAGATAAATATTTAAGCTCAAAGGTCCATTCAAACAAATACAAATTAGAGTAGAACAAACATGGACATCCAAAACATGGAAGTATGATCAGGTTCCATGGAGAAATGAACATCCCCTTCCGACCAGTCACACCCACCCTATGCTCAATGATCGGGAAAAATGGAAAAAAAGTAGCCGATCCAGTATTTAAACTAGAGGTACTCTGAGCACTGAGCTCACTAAATGATATCCCCGTCTCGCGTATGATTACGAGGGATGATCAAAAAGTTCGCAAACTATCTCTATATCTACAAAACCACAATTCAGATTAGAATGAAATTCGGTACACACATAGCCATACACAGGGTCTATAAATAGCATATACTGAATAAAGTTTCTCTCCTTGTTTGTGACGTCACAATGTGAAAATTACGTCACTATTTAGGTCACTTGTGACGAAAAATGGTTGTCTCAGTCGAACTCGTTCAACAAACGACTGTACAATTTATTGTAATATCTTAGAAATCCCTCTACAGTATCATATAATAATTTGTACACAGTTTATTGAGATAAATGAGTTCCTATAATTCAATTAATGATTGGATCAATCGTTTTAGTGAAGGAAGGCTGATGGTTAAAAATGATACTTGTCATCTTGCCCAGTGAAAGCAAGTTTGAAAAGATATGTATTTTTAATTAAGCAATTTGCTATCAAAGACCTCCAATTAGCACTTTGAAAAATAGTTGAATATTTGAACAATGATATAAGTATCAAATACCTAAGATATCGTTTACTTTAGATTTTAAACATATTAGATATGATAAAAAGGATGCACCCATTCTCTATCCACCTTGAATAAAGGTCTCTCCTAAGACAGAAGATTTGTGTTTTAATGGTCGCCATGCTTATTTTTGGAAAGGATGTTATTATCCACCCATTCTGTTGCCGAGATATGACCATTTCTGACAAATTAACTGTTCTTGTCATAAAAATTAACTCACATGGAAAGAAATATAAAACTCGGGAAAATCTTTTAACTTTTGTGACAGAACGCTACGGAGGGGGTCACGTGACCGCCAATATCACGTGATTCGCGCATGCGCAGAACGGTGGTTGATGTGCATTAAAATCGGGGAGGATTAATTTAAAATATAATCAACATTAAAACCAAATATTGTTTCTTGTATGGAAGTAATTCAATTAGTTTGCGAACTTTTTGATCACCCTTGTATAATGGCAATTAAGGTCATGTTTTGCTCTGGAAGACCCGAAAGTGTCAGATCAAAATGTTAAATATTGTTGCATTATGTAATAAAGACTCTGTGAAAGTATCATTAAATATTCAGTGGTATAGGAGGAGTTTCGGATGAGAGATGGGTACCCTTTAATATTATAGAAAGAATGGCAGTATAAATTAATCTTTGTCGTATGAAACCCGAAATGAGTCCGATCAAAAAGGAAAGTAGAAGGTGCACAATGGCACTATGTATCAAAGATTCCATGAAAATCTCATTAATTAAATTTCACTCAGTTGTAGAAGACGAGTTGCGGATAAGAGATGGGTACCCCCAAGCGTAACAGATTGACGGACGTACAAACAGACAGTCGGACATCCTGATCACTTTAAACCCTCCCACTTTTCAAGCGGGAAGTATAAAATGGACAAATAATAAGTATGAAACCGTCAGTCAGCATTTGACTCAATGGTATATTGTATTTGCTGGCAAAGTCATTGTATCGACCAAAAGACTTTCAAAAAGAAGACTTCAAATGAGACAGTTTTATCCTCGTTTCATCAACTTGTTTGTCATTAGCTCATCTCTTTTTAGAAATTGTTTATAAATAGAGCATGCTCTTCTGTATTGAATTAACTGAGAACTAATATAAACCCCATGTCATCGCCCGAGTGGCCTAGTTGTCAGAGCGTCTGCTCTAGAGTCTCGAAGTAGATTTGACCCTTACGTCGCAGGTTCAATCCCACTGTGCAATGTGGAGACCAGTTCTTTGAATGAGACCGTATATAAACCTAAGTCCCTTGTCAAAGAAGGTGTTGACCCGAAATACCGGTAGATCCCCCACTGCTCAATGGCCCTGAGTGCCGAGTATATGTCAAACTCTGTAGCTCTCCATCACTAAATGAAGGCGTCTCCATATGAGTGAAGAGTTCTCGAGAGGGACGTTAAACAATAAAACATTCATTAATACCATATGCAGGTGTGAAGGATGGACTGCTACATAAGTAAGGGAGTAGAGGTCATCACATTTAGCTTGGTTTTTGCAAATTGGCTGACCATTAACGTCTTTTCTAGTAAAATATCAAAATATGAAAGAGATGTTTCAGACTCTGTGATATCTTTTATTTCAAGATCACTAGGATATATCGAGTTGACATACAATGGAAGCTATCGTTAATTGATAATACGTCGTCCATATATATAAATGTAGAGTTGCAGGTCATCAGTTGTCGAATGTACGTACTTTCAGAATATTTTTAGTACACGATTTGAACCAATAAAATGCCATTTTCCCCCACCTCTCCAACATTACTCAATGTTTGCTAGTGAAGAAGAATTTTTCAAAAAAATAAATATGTATTTTTAAATTACTGTTGAACAGTGGACAGATTGCCGGTAATGTAACATCGGTGGCTTAGAACTTTTTAAAATAATCTCTTAACCCCATTACTTGTGATTAACACCATCTAGTCCCGAGTCTATACAGTGTATACATGTACATGTACCTTAACACTTTTTTTGGGCTTGAACCCCTTTGGAAGCAATTTTAGACGCGTGACTAACGAAGAAAACAGCAATAGCCAATAGGTAACTTAAGTGTATCTAGTGATTTGTATTTCGAATCAAACACTTAAGAGTTGATAGCATATTTAACCACTTACAAGGAATGGCTACTACATGTATACTCAGCTCTGTTATCAGAAAGATACGCATACTATACTGGCATGAAAGAAAAAAGCCACGCATATCAGACGTAAAAATTGGGTTCCTATACATCTAAGTATGCTATATAAAAGTACAGTCTGGCATAAAATGCGGGTTTTGTTACAGGTTTTCTTCTTTTTTTAATTAGATAACAAGATAACATATGTAGAATTAATCAAATAAACTCTGCCACACTGAAGTTTTATAAAAAGTTAGGACAAAACGAGAATCGTTTAGCCTCTATAAATTGTCAGATGATTGTAATCGTAGCATTCAATTGGTTTCTTTTTTCAAAGTACTTCACAGAAAGATATTTGCATTTGCAGAATTTTATCATAAATTCATGAAGTTTATTTATTTTATTTATTTTTTTTTTTGAAACTAAAGGAAAGTTGAATTGCTATTAAAGTTTATTACAAAACCTGTTTTGTAGATACATATATGGATAAGAGCGTGTTCTAAGCATGTATAATTTGCAAAATCTTAACACTGAAAGGTTGCGCAAAAGCTAGACTGTTATTTGTCCCCATATAAAATCATTAATAAACATTTTTCTAAGAACAGGAAGCATGCATCAATATATATCATTAACACGATTCATCTACATGATTATAATATACTCTTTTCTGATCTCCATACTTTATTTTGAGAAAGGTATAATAAGGGTAAAATATAGGGTAAGATTTTAAAGGTGAGCTGTGGGCTAAGTTGTTGCAATCAAAAAAGTATGACTTTTGGATATAATTGAACATTATACATATCTTAGAGCAAATGAAATTAGCGAAAAACTGTGTCATATTTCATATTTGATTTTAGCTATCAAAAGAGTCAAATACACAATCAAATACGCTCAAATACACAGATCAAATACTAGCGTCAGGAAAGTAAATGATAGATATAATGATAAGTGTACTTAATAGAGAACTATCTACTTGTGTAAAGCAAGAAGAAATGACATGTATACATATCTTTCTGATCTATTTCCTATGATAATATAAGTAAACTTTCCTTAATATATTTTTTAGAAATTGATTTAATAGTGAATACATGAACATGTGAACGTTCTTTCACTCACAACTGATTTTTTTTTCTTTTTTTTTTTTTTTAAGTTTATGACACTCGACATATTTTTTGTTTAATTTTGCAAAGAGAAAGATTTTAAATCAACTTAAAAAGGAAAAGATTCAATAAATCATTCATATCTTGATTAGAAATACAATTTAAAGAAAACATTCGAAAATCAGCACAACGAAAGTTTTTTTTTTCTAAATAACATTCTACTATTACCCTCGGTAAGACTACGACATACAACATTTTATTATAATCCTTAATATTATTTAGGTAAAAGTTGTTTTTAACGCAGATCGTTAAAAAATATTTGCACAAAGTTAATTAAAAGTAAAATGAAAACACAGAAGAAGCTAGTCCTTACCTCTTGTCTTTAGAATAATCCCTGAGTTAGTAATCATTTTTGATGCGCAGCACATGTATCATATATCACATTTTACCCTGGACAGCTTACTCACTATATTGGGGGAGGCAAATTTATTTTATCGTTTTCACCTTATTATCTGAAAAGAATATATATTTGAATATTATAGAAATTGTTTTTATCAATTCTCAATTCTCCTAGATCGCGTTTTGTAAAAGAAATAGATTTATTTTTTGAAATATTATCTGCGTATTTCTAATTTTAAGACTTTTTTAAGACCCTTTACCTTTTTTCCGCAATAAAATCATTGTCTATATATCGGATATTAGGAAAATTCTTGTTTTATGAAAAAAGTCAGCATGTAACACAACATTAAAAGCCTCATTAATTTCATTTAAACAGCGCTATTTCAAATGATGATAATTTCGTAGAAGCGTGTGTTATGTTACCTAAACCCCAACAGTATATATCTCCTTACTCAGGCAGTAGGCAGAGCATTTCCTAGAGTTTTCGCCACCTTCTTAGCACAGATGGCTAGTGTATGATAATCATTTCCAATTGATTTACCCGCAGATTGGTTTCGTGTTCCAAAACATCCGCCATTATTCTGTGTTTGTGAGTCGCCTGGATTCCAAAAGATGTCAAAGCCATTTCCTTTGCCTGCGTTCTTTGGTGAAGCATTGAGTAAACATTGCTCAGCAGCGAGTATTTAAAAAACAGACTTACACACAAACGAAATATTTTTTGATGTAAATATTTATACAGGGTGAACTTACTTAATTTGTAAAGCAATAAGTCCTCTCGAAACTTTCTGAAAAATATTTGGTTTGTTTATAAAATGTAACTGTTAACAGATGCTGATTGAATTTTCCTAATTGTAAAAACCTAAGAACCTAAGTTGGTGCTTTTCTTGTTTATATATTATGTACAAGCAAACTGACCAAACTTGACCTCACAGCTTTTATCGCTTATTTCATCGCAGAGATTATCACCTTCAGATCCAAAACCAAACGATTGTAAATAGATAAAAACAGTCGTAGAAAACAAACAGATACAGTGTATATATAATTTGTTGTGATCTTTTCTAAATTAATTTTATTCTCTGTATTATGCAAAAATAAAGAAAAAACAAGATGTGTTTGTGAAACACAGATCCCCCCCCCCCTCCCCCCTCTCCTCAGAGATGAAAGATGTTGTTACTCAAAGAAAGTACTTGTATTACCTGTGAAATATAAAACCCCAAGCACCAACTATTAAAACGTTATGGCCAAGATTAATTTTTTTTAAATGTGGATCAAACTTCAAGATCCAGATCAAAGGGTTAATTAATTGGAACCCAAGGGAAGGTCTTGTCTTTAGAACAATACATATATATGAAACATTCAAGTCCTAACACCTACTGATCGAAACTTATGGCGACGGTTAAGTTTTTTCAAAGTTGGTCAAACTCCAAGGTCAGGGAAAAGGGTGAAGAAATTTTGGTTTCCAAACGAAGGTATTGATACAAAGAATGCATCTTTTAAATATGAAGGCCCTAGAACCAGCAGTTCAAAAGTCGTGACCAAGGTTAATGCTTTTTAAAGAATTGATCAAACTCAAAGGTCAAGGTCAAAAGGTAAAAAATTATTACAAGTGAGTCCCTTAAAATTCTTGTTTAAACAATAAATATTCACTTGAAGTAGGAAAGTCCTAGCAAAAACTGTCCACAATTTATGGCCAAGATTACAGTTTAATTTTTTTCAAACTCCAATGTCATAAGGTCAAGTATGTTGGGAATCATGTCACAAGGAATACATCTGTGAAATTTGAAATCAATCAAAAGTTATGAACAAGGTTATAATTTCCGTGCACAAACAGACAGAAAGACAGAGGGACGGACAGGGCAAAAGTTATATATTCCGAATTTTAGGTTACGGAGCTATAAAGATAATGTTTCGTTAATTATTATTTTTCTGATACTTTTCTTCGAACAACGATTTTGTCATTTTACAATAATAGAAAAGCCATATTATGCACACAGTTAATAAAGAGATTTTAAATAAAAGCGCATTCATGTACATAGTTTAATTGCTCGACTGCAGTTTGTTTTTGTTTCTCTCGGCCTTTCGTCACTTTTAGTTACTAATACATGTATTTACCGATCTATAACCAGAGAGAGAGAGAGAGAGATGAGTGGGGCGTCAAGTTTGGCATTCTGACTTCTTCGAACTTTTGTCATACTTGCAGGGGTCTGACCAAGGTATATACATGTATTTTTAATAGAGGCCACACGCTTCATTGTAATACTGTATACAGGGAAATTTTCGCCCCCATTTTATTTTCGCCCCTTTCGCCCTCTTCTTGATTGGGCGAATTTAAAACGGGGCGAATTCAAATTACACAGCATAATTTCTTAAACAGAACTATGACTGGGCGAATTTAAAACGGGGCAAAATTGTTTGCAAGTTCAAAAGGGCGAAAATAACACGGGGCGAAAATAACCCTGTATACAGTATTTCATATTTATTTCCAAACAACCATTCATGAGCAATTGACAGAGCGTTCAACAATTGCACATTTTCTTTCTTTTTTTCTACATTAAATTAAATAATGACATTGGTCACATGTACAAGAATTATAAGTGAGCAATAGACATTGACAACGTCAACACGTGCACCCTCTCCCTTTAACCGTTACATATTGTATTAAATCATTAAATCAACAGTCTTCAATAATACAAAAAAGTGTTTTGAGAAATTCTTCATTTGTTGGATTGAACTACTTACACATGGACGTACGTTGTGAAAATATAATTGCATGGTCAAATTTCGAGTAGAAAGTTCACAAGTTCCCTTGTTTCTTACTTCCTGAAAAAAAATCAATGTCAAGTACAGAAAATTATAGAAAACAAATTGACATCTCCAGGGGCCAGTGTAACATGTCCTTTATTTTCATCGTCTTTTATTCTGATTATATTCAAGATCTGTAGCTGGGTACTCCTAGAAATGAATTGATAAAAAGGTTAAGATGCTCTGAAAGGCTCGTAAATCAAGTTTCACAGATAAAATATCCTTAAACATGATAGAACTCTGAGAAAAATTGCTATCTTTACTATTCATTTCAGGTTCTGGCAGTGGATACAAAAGCCAGAAAACCCAAATGAATCTCTGTAGTCTGCCTTTTTTCTCATTGCAATTATTTGAGATTCTTTGTTAAAGTTGCCTGGTAGAGCCGGGGATGAGTGGCGGTTGTAATTACTGCTGCTCTCCGGTCCTTCTCGACTTGACAGCTATGGAATCATTGTCAGCTCTGTTTTCTATTGTTTCAATCAGAAAACATTCCGATGTGAAATCTACCACTTGTGGATCAATATTACAAAACGTCAGTCAGAATACTAGTACTATTATCTGTGTTTAATTTTTCTTTCATTTTAAAGACTTTACAAATGAGTTTCATATTCACTTGAAAATATGTAATTAAAATCAATAACATGCTGTAATTTTTTTTCATTGAAAATGATTTTTTTCAACACACAGTCTTGAAAATACATGTAAGTATGTACATGTATTGTAGTTGATATGACAAAGAACAGTTAAAGTAGAAGTAAAGACCGAAGAACAAGTGGCATGAAGAGTCGGGGTAAATCTTAAGTAGAGAACAATGAATACCCCTCCGAAAAATGGTTAAATATATACCGTGGTGGGCTTTTTACTCGCAGAAGGATAAAACGTACGCTCAACTAGGACCTCGGGTCCCCCGCAAATGGTTCGTCATTTTGCGTAGTAATAAAACATTTTAGGAACTCTTCAGGCATTAAAGGCACAAAAGTAAATTCATCGATGTCAATACGGAGACCTCAGGTCACCTTATATATTGATTGAATTTTATATGATAGACGGTTTTCTTTGTCTTACTCCAAAATAATCATATTTATAACTTTATATAGAACAACTTTTTAATATACCCAGTATATATCAGCAGAAACGTGAAAGTAATTATGGGGACCAGAGGTAACCATATATTATACTGTACATCAGTAGGGAGACCAGTGGTAACATTTTATTGCACATCATAAGGGGGGCCTGAAGATATCTTATATTGTAGATCATTTGGGGGACCAGAGGTCATCTTATATTGTATATCAGTACGGGGACCAGTGGTCACCTTATATTGTACTGTACATCAGTAGAGGGAACGAAGATAACCTTAGATTGTACATCGGTAGGGGGACCAGAGGACATCTTATACTGTACGTCAGTAGGGGGACCAGAGGACACCTTATATTGTACATCAGTAGGGGGACAAGTGTTCACCTTATATTGGACAGTACATCAGTAGGGGACCAGAGGTCACCTTATATTGCACACCAGTAGGGGGACCAGAGGAAACCTTATATTGTACATCATGAAGGAGACCTGAGGTCACCTTATATTGTACATTAGTAGGGGGACCAGAGGTCACCTTAAATTGTACATAAGTAGGGGGACCAGATGACACCTTATATTGTACACCAATAAGAAGACCAGAGGGCACCTTATCTTGTACATCAGTAGAGGGACTAGATGTCATCTTATATTGTACATCAGTATGGGGACCAGGGGTTATCTTATATTGTACATCAGTAGGGGGACCAGAGGACACCTTATATTGCACATCAATAAGGATACCAGAGGTCACCTTATATTGTACATCGTTAGGGGGCCTAGAGATCACCTTATATTGTACATCAGTAGGGGGACCAGCGGTCACCTTATATTGTACTTCAGTAGGGGGATCAGAGGTGATCTTATATTTTACATCAGTAGCGGGACCAGAGGACACCTTATATTGTACATCAGTAGTGGGACCAGAGGACACCTCATATTATACATCAGTAGGGGGACCAGAGGACACCTTATATTGTACATCAGTAGTGGGACCAGATGTCACCTTATATTGTACATCAGTAGTGGGACCAGATGTCACCTTATATTGTACATCGATAAGAGGACCAGAGGTCACCTTATATTGTACATCAGTAGCTAGGGTGCTAGAGGACACCTTATATTGTACATCAAGAAGTAGACCAGAGATCACCTTATATTGTATACCAATAAGAAGACCTGAGGACACCTTATATTGAACATCAATAAGAAGACCAGAGGTCACCTTATATTGTACATCATTAGGGGAACTAGAGGTCATCTTATATTGTACATCAGTAGGGGGACCAGAAGTTACCTTATATTGTACATCAGTGTAGGGACCAGAGGTCACCTTATATTGTACATCATTTGGGGGACCAGAGGACACCTTATATTGTACATCAGTAGTGGGACCAGAGGACACCTTATATTGTACATCAATAAGGGGACCAGAGGTCTCCTTATATTGTACATCA